AGACTTGTGTGGCTGGATTAACTTTCATGGATCCATCAACCTGTGACTGATACGTTCATTTGCTTGCTACCTCTTAATCAAAGGAGTATTTTCATGAAATTAGAATCTGACCACTTTATGCTGTTGCACAAAATAATTCAGTGACTCTTTTTTGTCTTCATGATAAAGGCCAAGTTACTCTGTAGTTTACTTGGCCTTTTCTTTGATTATTGTCATCTTGCATGGAGATTTAAACTGATCTTTAGTTTACTCATCTTTAAGTAATAGGTTGTGATTATTTTGTTGGTTGAGGTTAGCTGTATTATGTGGCACCTTTATATGGCTTCAAGTAAGTGGGCTATTGCTACTTAATTAAGTAAATGTAGCTAGGTGTTACATACCTCATTTATTCTCTTAACTCCAAACCAAATTATGTGTTTCATTATATTATGCTTGTCTTTTAGTCAAAACTCCCATAGTGGTGCTCTTTTTCTTCCCTTAAGAATTCCTAGATTTCAGATGTTAATTTCTGTATTGCATTCTCTTCCTCATTCTTAATTCCAGCTAGATAACAATCCCTACCAGTGTTAATAGAAAACTAAGATAGAAGGCTTAATCTAATAGGTGTCAACTCTTACAGGGATGTTGTACTTTAAAAGTAGACTCTCAGTTTGACTAGTGAATTTGTGGGCAAACTGGGATATGTAGCTATAACAGCACAATCACATGAGAGATTGGATATTTTTAACAGTGTAGTTAGTGATATATATGCTTGTCTTGTTTGGGACTTTTTACCAGTGAAACCATCAACATTGGTGATTTCTTCATGGGAGAGTTTTTTATTTAAGATTCAGTTTATTTTTATAGAAACAATTCTTCAGATATTTTATTTCACATGACAGGTTCCATTCACCTTCCATCCCCACCATGTATTATTATTCTAATATTATTCTAATATATTCTCTTTTTCATTCATCATATTGGTGATTTGTTACTAACCTCTCTTCTAGATTAATTCTTGCTAGAGGCTTGTCAATGATATTAATCATTTCAACAATAATTGTTTAGCATTGTTGGTCTTTCTCTGCTATTGTTTGTATGTTTTCCAATTTCTTGATTCCTATTCTTGACTTTTTCCCTCTTTGAGTCTGCTTCCTTTTGATTAAGTTGCTGAGTTTCTTTTCTCTTTTTTTTTGTTAAATATTTATCTACTCATGCACACAAGAACTAGGGTACAGGCCAGAGTTGCAGGGGTGGGTGAGAGGACTCACCAGAGACAGAGTGGGAAGCAGCCTAGGCAGATTGAATGGCAGCCTAGGCAGATTGAATGAAATATACTGCTGAGGGAAGTAGCGGGTGGGTCAGGAGAGGTCTGCTCACCATGTGGGTCACCTCCCTGGCTAGAAACTGAACTTAAGTTGCAGTTGCTGCATATAGCTTCATAGCGCTTAACTTTTATCTGTTGAGCCTCCATGGAGAGCCGAGTTTTACTAGTCTTCTAACTTAAGATAGAAATGTAAATTATTCATTTTTATTCATCTTCTTTTTTATTATATGCATTGAAGGCTATAAATTTCCCTTAAGTACAGCTGTAACTACACCCCACAAATATTGATAATTAATATTTTCTTTGTCATTCAGTTCAGAATATTTTCTGAATTCCATTATAATTCATTCTTTGATTAAATGAACGTCACTAAATTTTTTTTTTTTTAAGATTTATTTATTTTACACATACAAAAACTGGGTACAGGCCAGAGGTGCAGGGGTGTGAGAGAATTCACCAGAGAAAGGTAGGGAGCAGAACAGGCTGTTTGATTAGGATACACTGTTGAGGGGAGCAGTAGGTGAGACAGGAGAAGTCTGCCTCACCATGTGGGTCACCTCCCTGGCTGGGGATTAAACTGGTGCTACAGTAGCTGTGGATAGCTTTTACTTGTACCTCTAGGAAGGGCCCTCACTAAATTTTTAAAGGAAAAAATTCTTACAACAAATATTCCACATGATAGAAAAAAGGGGATCATTTCCTAACCTGTTTCAAACTAAATAAGCTGAATACTAAAAACAAGGTTGTCTTAGAAAATAAGTTTAAATTTATTTCATTAAGTTGTTATATTAGCAATGTAGTAACAAATCAAGTATAGCAATATGCAAAAGTGTTATGACCAAGTTGGCTTTATCTTAGTAATGCTAGCTTGGACTAGAATTAGATTTTAGAAATGCAAACTTGTATTAAAATAAGCAAACCAATGATTAGGATTTACTTAATAGAATTAGAGAAAAATGTCTGCTCCAGTAGACACAGAAAAAATAATTTAATATAAGCACTATGTATTATAAAGATGGCAAATAGAAACAAAACTTAAGTATTTGACAGTGGTGACTGGTTAAATAAAGTATGATTTACTTAAAGAATTTTAAAAGTATATGGAAAACATCTTGGTTTGATAAATAAACAAGGAAATGTATAGTTGTCTGAGAAAACAGATGCATAAAATATACAAAAATGTAAATAGTGATCTTTCAGGTTGAGGTATATAAATTTTTGGCTGTACTTTTTGTATTTTAGCTTGATTCTAAAATGTGCATTTGTTAATTTTGTAAATAACAGATCATTTTATAATTAGTTTTTTAAAAAGATTTTATTTATTTATGCATATAGAACTGGGGTACAAGCCAGAGGTGCAGGGGTAAAGTGGGGAGCAGAACAGGCAGATTGTCGAAGTACACTGCTGAGGGGAGCAATGGGCGGGTCAGGAGAGGTCTGCCGCGCCATGTGGTCACCTCCAGGGCAGACGGGGATCGAGCTCATGCTGAAATGGCTTTTAGCTTCTTAGTTCTGTGCTTTAACCCACTGTGCCACCAGAGAGGGCCTTATAATTAGTTTTTAATTAGAAGTCCTACCACATAAAAATATTTTAAATGTGACTGTTGCTAATTATAAAACTTAATCAAAATATGATATGAAAGTTTTTTTAATAATATAATAGTTTTTGTTTGTTTTTTTACTTCATTTTGTGCCTTTTTCATCTCAGTTGTAATCCCCTTGGGCTTCCCATCACCAAATCACCATGTGCCATCACCACAGTCCAGTGCATTTCCCTCCCCACACTGTTTTTGATCCCATATCCCACTGCATCCCCATAAAAATGTCTCTGGTATATAGCTGTTCATCATTATCATTATTTTCTCATCTAGTCCGTTATACTCCTGCTATGAGTGAAACCATCCGGTATTTTTCCTTTTCTTTCTGGCTTTTATTTCACTAAGCATGATCTTCTCCAGCTCCATCCATGTTGCTGCAAAAGGAATGTGTTTATTTTTTCGGTTGCTGAGTAATATTCCATTGTGTATACGTACCACATCTTTTTAATCCAGCCATTCACTTTTGGGCATGTGGGCTGTTTCCATATCTTTCCAATTATAAATAAGGCAGCAATAAACATGGGGGTGCAGGTATCTTTTTGAATCAGTGTCTCTGTGTCTTTTGGGTAGATACTTAGGAGTGGGATTGCTGCATCATGTGGAAGCTCCATTTTTAGCAATTTGAGGAACCTTTAGACAGTTTTCTTTAGTGGTTGTACTAGATTGCTTTCCCACCAGCAGTGCAGGAGAGTTCCTTTTTCTCCACATCCCCGCCAACATTTGTTGCTGCTGGTTGGGTGAGGTGGTATCTCATTGTGGTTTTAATTTGCATCTCCCTTATTACAAGTGATGTTGAACATTTTTTCATATGCTTGTCCATCTGCATGAAAGAATGTATTGATGAGGGCCTTCCCTGGTGGTGCAGCAGGTAGGAGTGCATTGCTATGAAGCTGTCTGCAGCCACTACAACTCGTTTGATTCCCAACCAGGGTAGTGAACTACATAGTGTTGCAGACTTCTCCTGACTGCCTGCTACTCCTCTCAGCAGTGTATTTCATTTGCTCTGCCTTTTCTGCTCCCTACTCTGTCTCTCACTCCCCCTCCCATACCTCTAGCCTGTACCCCACTTCTTGTATGTGTTAATAATTTTTTAATCTATCAGTGAGTTGTAAAATACCATATGAATTGGGTGTGCTTTTGAGACCAAAATCTTTTTACCTGGGTTAAATATAGAAATAGTGAACTCTTCATGAAAGATTTCCCCAAACCTAGCATTAATGTAGATGTTTCTATAAGTAATCCAAAAGTTGATGCTTGTTCATGCTTGTGATTTGAATCCAAATTATTAAATGAAGATTTTTTTTTAAATTTTGATTCTTGTGAAGGAAAAAAAGATGATTTGCTAGTTTGTTATAATTGAAGGCTTGTGTGTGTGTTAGTTTTTATACACATGATTTAGAGGTATAGACTCAGCACCTTCAGGTGTATGTTACCGCACCTTATCTATCACCAAGGCCCCCTGATCCTCCATTATAGACTGTTGAACTACCTGTTCCCTTTGCTCCATTATCTCCAACCTTCTGGTATCCTCAGTTCTGCACTTAGACTTCCTTTTTTTTTTTTTTTAGATTTATTTATTTATGCATACAGAACTGGGGTACAGGCCAGAGGTGTGGTAGATGAGAGAATTTACCAGAGACAGTGGGGAGCAGAACAGGCAAATTGACAAATTACACTGCTGAGGGGAGCCATGGGCAGGATAGGAGAGATCTGCTTCATGTGGGTCACCTCCTGGGCAGGATCGGGAATCAAACTTGCACTGAAGTGAACTCACACTTAAGTGGATGGGCTAGCTTGCAGTGCTGGGCATTAACCCTCTGGGCCACCAGGGAGGGCCCTGCACTTAGACTTTTAAGGTTTCTGTTGAGTGGCTTTTGTTCATCCCTTTATTCTATTTTCCTGTAGTCTACACATGGGTGAAATCATCCAGTATTTTACTCCTTCTACTTTATTTCACTTAGCATAATTCCCTCCAGTTCCTTCCATGTTGTCTCAAGTGATAAGATTTCATGAAGATGATTTTTTCCTTCAAATACAGTCTCCACTGATTCTAGTATTAGGAGTTGAATAAAATTTTCTTTTATACATTTTTACAGATGGTAGTAAAAACTTTTATGGATATGGATCAGGATTCAGAAGATGAAAAACAGCAGTATCTTCCACTAGCCTTGCATCTTGCATCTGAATTTTTCCTCAGGAATCCCAATAAAGATGTGCGTCTCCTTGTAGCATGTTGTTTGGCGGACATCTTTCGAATCTATGCCCCAGAAGCTCCATATACTTCCCATGATAAGCTTAAGGTAAGTACAATATTTATAAAACTTGTTTACTTTTATAATTTAACCTATCTTTAGGGAAGATTTCATCTTTGGGAACATAGGTTTCATATTATTCATCTTAATAAGATCATAAGTTAAAACTAATTTTTTATTCAATTAATACTCATTTAGTACCCACAAAAACAGTTGGCATTTTTATGAGGTATTGAGAATGCAAATCAAAACCATTCCCTGTCTGCTCGTATCTAATCTTCAGGACAGTCTGTTACAGCCCAGGTAATGGATTTAAAGAGATAAACAATGAATCATTGATCTTTAAGCAATAGTTTACTAGGACCTACACATTCTAATAAATATTTACTCCTGCAAAATATGGTACTTGCAGAACTATATGCTCATTTTGGTGGTTTTGCCTTTGTTTGAAATGTTGGTGAAACTTCTCTTTAGCGTTTATCTGTGACCTAACTTCATATATTGAATTTTATTCTCACAAATTTTAATCCTTTTAACTTGCTTTTTATTAGTCTGAAATCACTTAGTCCCACCTTAATACTATTTTAGATTGAAAATTCTTTAAAAAAGCATGCTGAGAAATGAAGTGTTATCATTGTAAAAGGTTAGTGGTTTTACTCCATAAAACTTCAGTTATACAGCACACTCCCAAGTAGGCACTTAAAATTAGTTTACACGTAGTAACAGACAGACTCATTCAGGTCCTTAATGTGAATATAATTGTTTGCTGCTATATACAATGAATAAAGTGGAATAGAAATGCTAGCGTAGATGAAAAGGTACAAGATATAGAGCCTATGGTTCTCACAGTATAAAAAAGAATAAATACTTATGACAGCATTCATTTTTATTTTTCTTCTAAATGTAATTTTATATGATTTTCTCTTTTCCAGCTGTTTTGAATAATGAACTAGCCAGTCCCAAGTCATTTGTCTAAAGGAGAAATTTTCTTTTATTGTAGTTGGTAATGGATTCATAACTATAAAGACTTTAGTGTTGTTAAAGAATAAATATTTGTGTCTAAATTAATATATTTTATCATCTTTTTAACAGGACATATTTTTGTTTATTACCAGACAATTAAAAGGTTTGGAGGATACAAAGAGTCCGCAGTTTAATAGATACTTTTATTTATTAGAGGTAAAAAGAAATTTAATAAATATCACAATGTTTCATGTAGTAGAAAATTCTTTATAGTAATTTTATAATGTAAAATGTCTTTATTTTATATAAACCCACTTAACTCATGTCTTTTGCATTTAATGAAGAAAATATAATCTGCTTATTGCTCCTCATGCCTGATAAGATGAAGTATATTTCACTGGAAAAAGTGTTACATTATTTGAAACTTAATTTTTATCACCATTTTTTTTCTAATCCTGAAAGGGATTAAGTTTAATTAATTTTCACTGCTCTATGCTTTGTATCTATATGTTTATCAGCCTTTAATAATTTAGTATTTTTCAATGAGAGAAGACTTATAAATTTTAAAAATCAAAGTACATGACAGAATTGTCATTTTATATGCCAAGCTTTTATAGGCCTTAATATACATTGAAAATTCTAAAAATTAAATTTTATAAATGAATTTGCTTTTATGTAACTCATCCAAGTGTGTTATGTAATTATTTTTATTTGTCTATATTAGAATTTAGCTTGGGTTAAATCATATAACATCTGCTTTGAATTGGAAGATTGCAATGAAATTTTTATTCAGCTTTTTAGAACTCTCTTCTCAGTGATCAAGTAAGTTATGTCTGAAGTATTTGTTTCTCTTTGCTGTATATAATTTACGGTATATATTGAAGTTTCATATATTATATGCTGAGAACTTTTGGGACTCATAAGGAAGTGTTTTAGAAGACAACCTGAAGAGGAAAATAAAAATTATATTGTCTGAAGCCTGCCTTTGCCATATTCTATAATTTAAAGTATGATATCAGTTATATTTGTCAGTTTTCAAAGTAAATGGTATGACACCTCATATAATGAGTTTCTGAACTCTGATGTAAAAATTACAAGTTTCATAATATCACTAGTGAGTGTTGGGAAACATAGTAATATACTGTTTTTGATATCTTCTCATTTTAGAACTAAAAGCTGTTATACATTGGTCTTTCCTTAGTAAAAAGGAAGCCAGTGCATGAAGGAGTGTGGTGGCTTATTTAAGGATAAATGGCTGATTAAGAGTTTAAACTCTGATTCCAGAGTAGTATTGTGTTTTATTTTATTGTAGACTAACCACTGTTATCAAATGTGTTCTATAGCATTACATTATATATACAATATCTTACCTAAAACTTTAACTTACTCATATCCACATCAAGTATGATAAGTAAAATTTAATTAGTACAGATAATGTATCTTACTCATCTGACATATCCTAAACCAACAGTATTTCAGAATGTGCCTCCTCTATACTTTAAGTACTCAGTAGCCAAATGGCTATTGGCTAATGGTTTTTGCATTTTGGACTGCACATTTCTAGAATGTTCTATACATTTTTTGGTCAGAAAAAATTGTGCCTTTTGTTAATTCTATTGTTATTTTGAAGTGCATTTGTCTTACAGCTTTATTTGGGTATCTATATAAAAATTATAGAGAGTTATATACATAGCAATGTGATAAATTTCCACCAGGTTTTTAAGAGTTCCATCTTTGCCTTTTTCTGCTCTGTGGTAAAGAAGTCTGTTACACATTATTTCAAGTCCATTATTTTTTAAGCATAGGTGAGGATAAATATTCTTATGATTATTCAGTCTTGATTTAAATTTCCCTGTATCTGTAGTGCTGTGAACTAATTTAGATCTATTCCCTTGATTTGTCCTTGCATATATATTTATATACTGATAAATGTGCAAATGGACAGCTCAAGCCCTCAGTTAAGTAGCAATCAGGAGGAAGGCCTAGATGCTAAAAGTTTTGTAGCCATTTTTTAGGTACAGTATCAGCAGTAGACATTTATTGAGGGGGCCTACAGGTAAAGGATCACTGAAACTGATTCTTAGTTATCCTCTGTTGATTCTTTCTTTGTTTGAAATTTGGGTTAGAGATAGCAGTATGACATTTTCATGATCGTCCGGTAATATATATAACAGAAATTGCCTTTGTTGGCTTAGGCTTTTCTGTGTATGTATAGTATTATTTCAGGGAATGTATTAAGATTTGAAGGGATCAGAAGGATAGTTATCTGCCTTCAATATATTGTACCAATTTTTTTTCCTATTACCTTATATAAAATTTTGCTAATTTTACAAATCTGGAAACATAAGCAAAGATGAATTTTGTTATTGTTTGGTTGAATTAAACACACTCTTTGATGCTAATTACCTAGGTCCTTAATTCATTCTAAAGATCTTTGTGCTTGTAAAATATATTACCAGAAAAATGCTTTACAACTGTATTTGTATAAACTTGGCCATTATTGGCATGGTTCCCTCAAGTGAAAATCCTTTTACAGCTGAGATAATTGTCTTAAAGGCTAGGAGGTTTAATTTTTCTTGCTCTCTCTCTTTTTTTTTTTTTTTTTTTTTAAACCTAAACTCTTTGCCTTGCATGTTTAAAAATTTAATTTTTTTTTTTTTTTAAGCAATAGCCACAATAAGAAGGTACAAATGCACATGCTAGACTTGATGAGTTCTATCATCATGGAAGGTGATGGAGTTACTCAAGAATTATTGGACTCCATTCTTATTAACCTCATTCCTGCACATAAGGTTTGTATAGTATGAAGACATTAAAGGTTAATTAACATTAAAGCTTGAAGATTCATTCTGTAATGCATTTGAAATCTTTTTTTTTTTTTTACCATTTTGGTCGTAATGACAATATTGTCCCCAGCCCCAAATAAAATAAAAGAGTAACACATATCACACATATCAGTCTTGTAGTTATTCTTATCTTTAGAAGATATGTTGATTTGAATATTGTAGATAATTTTTATTCAGTTAAGTGCTGCCTGTCTTCTGGAAAACTGAAAATTTATCATTCAGAGCTAGTCTGGGAATTAAATGAGAGTTGTAGTACTGTCAGTTTTGGTGGGTTGTTTTTGGGGTTTGTTTGTTTTCCTTAAAATATTTTCTGTTTTGTGCCTGATTTCTTCTCAGAACCATATCCTACATTTTTCTTAAGAATAGAAAAAGATTTGGGTGGGAACTATATGGTTAATGTTAAGGGGGAGAGGGTGAGCGCTGTATATTTGCCCCCATTTCTTTTTTCTGTTTCTCTCTGCTAGGTCCTCCTAAGGAACAAGAGGACTTAATCCCCTACAAGTACCACCACTAGGCTTTTATCAGGCCTGTCTGTCACTGTTGATGCTTACCCTCTGCTATTTTCCTCTGTGTTTCAGTTACCTGTTACCAGATATTAGATGCACTTTGAGTCTGTTATACTTAAAATAAGATATAATTAGTTATAAAGTCTGCTTCTCCTGACTCAATATTTGCATTTTCATACAAATGAAATCTAACTGGTCAGTTTTTTTTTTTTGGACTCAAAAAGGGGAGTACATGTCAGGTAAAATAGGAGAGGAAAAACTTGGAGAGGAATAGGTAGTATATTTGGTGCTTATATTTTGGTTAGAGAGTATTTTTTTTTTTAGTAGGAAGTCTACCCTTTTAGGAAATGGAAAGATTGCCTTAATTTTGAACTGATCCTGACTTTTTGCCAGTGAAATAAAAGCCTGGCACAAGGAAGCTATGATCCATGGACCAAATCTCACCCACTGTCTATTTATTTAAATAAAATTTTATTTGAATACAATCATTCTCATTTGTTTTTATTTTGTCTAGGGCTGTTTTCATGTGCCTACAGCAGGGTGTGCAGTGGCTGCGCTGACTATTACTCACCCACACTGTAACGAACATTTAATTTATCATATGATTGGTTGCACAAGAAGTGTGCTAGCCACTATCCTAGAATATATTGTTTCCTAACATCTTTTTGGAAAAGGTATAGGTGATGATAGATCTTAGTTTGATCTAAAACTGCAAAGTATAGAGATGTTAGTTGGTACTCTTCAAAACCAGAATTCCATTTTCATTAAGTTTTAAAAGTTTAATATCTGACATACAGTTGTTCTCAGACCTTTTAATTTGTTGTAGTTAATTGGAAATCTTGAGGCAGTAACATGGTATTCAGCATTTCAAAAATATCACTGCGATATTCTTGGGAAACTATCATTCAGGCCTACTCTTTTTGAGCATGTGTTTATTAAACACTGAACTTCTAAACGTTGAATTATAGAAGATACTGGTTAAACCTTCGCTGATATTTTATACTTTACATTTTGTAGATATGAAGAAACTTTTTTTTGTAGGTTTTTTTTGTGTGTATTTTTTTTCTCAAATGTTTAAAACAGGAAATTATAGACAGTAACAACAAGTTTCCAGGTGTCCAAATTTAACAAATCTAACATTTTGTCTTTGGGTGTTTTTGTTCTTTCTCCTTTTTCTTTTTGAATGTAAAGTGAACAAAACATGACCTATTAAAAGTTCCTTTCAAGACCACTAATTCCTTCTCTCCTCCCTCTTTTATGGCCTTTAGGCTATCCTAAGTACATTCACTCTCATAGACATATCTCCACAAACAACCTATTATCTTGTTATTTGGTCTGTCTTAAGACCCCTACAACTTACATTTGTGACCCAATTTTTACATTTTTGATAATTACCCATATTGACCTGCCTACAATTTTTCATTGATTATGCTCTTTATAGAAGTCTAATGTTTTTTCCTTCTCTCCCCTCCTTTTTAAAAAAAATTGAAGCAATATTGCTTTACAATGCTGTATATGATTATACAGTATCACTCTTTCAGGTGTATGTCACACCACCACCATCACTAAGGCACTCCTAATCATAGTCAGTTATATTCCCTCCACATTTTGCTCTTCCCCCTCCCCTCAGCTCCCTTTTTCAACTCTACAGTAAGATGTCCAGGGTTTATTATAGTATCCTAATACTGCAGTCTCATAAATCCTTTAATTCATTTGTGACTTTGCATATTTTTATTGTTTTTCAGAATTTAAATAAGCAGTCCTTTGATCTTGCAAAAGTCCTGTTGAAAAGGACAGTCCAGACTATTGAAGCATGCATTGCGAATGTATGTATTTCTGCCTATATTTGTTTCATAGTTTTGCAGTTCCTGCTCCATTGTACTAATTTACTAGGATCTTTCACATACAGCTTTATTTAGCCTATACCGTTTTGCCTGTTTAGAGCAAATGTGTAAAAGAACTGGTAGAGCTAAATGTGACCAAATACAACTGTTTTATTCACATTATCTTTAAATGGCACAAGATTAAGTAGTATTGTTTTATCAAATTCTATCTACAACTCCCACCCCATCTTCTGCTTTCATTTTTATACTTACCTTTTTATCTTCTATATATACAAATCTCTCGCTTTCTCATCTTTATTTTTAGGTTCCTGTGTCTGTGTATTTTCCTTTTCTTATATCTAGGTCATTCTTCTAAAATCTGATTTTTCCCTCTTAAGTAATTGTTACATAGTAATGAAAATAATTTTTTACTTTATCTAATAGAAGTTTGTAATTTCACTAAAGAAACAGCATAGTAATTTGAAAAAAATATTCATAATTGCAATATATTTATATCTATTTCACATTTGCTCACTATTTTTTTACATATTTTATGTAATTAGAATTTTAAATTGGCATACATTAACACATGTAAATACTTTGACTTTTTTAACAAAAAAAATCTAAATGCCTTAAAATGTTTCTTTGAATTGACAAATACCCATAATTTACCTAATCATTTCCCTACTTCCTTGCATTTAGATTTTACAGTGTTTTCTTTCTGACTTTTAATGTGTATTGCTTTTCAAAACAAATGTATCATTTCGTGGCAGTACCATTAATATATGCTTATATCAGTCACATGTAGCTGCCTCCAGCAGCTACAGCCTTTTTAAATTTGCTTTTCTTAGTTGCATGTATTTTTTGTGGAGAGTGGTTGTTTTTATTTTATGCTCTCGATATTTATATTCTTTGTTTCTTCATAGCAGCTTCTTAAATTTTAAATGAATTAACTTTGTATCATCAATTTTTTCTTCACTTTGTTCTCACCCTTCTCTGCATTTTCCTTTCCCCTGTGTGTGTGCACACACAAATTCATCGCCTACATTTAAGTACTTTTTATTACTAAGCTCATAGAATAATTAGACTTAAATAAAAATTGAGTAAAATTGTCTGCTATAAGAATTATTTAATTCTCTATTGAATTACATAAACTAACTTGTTTAGTTTTATTAAAAGATAGGATTTCTCCTATGTCACTCTAATAGAAAAAAACTAACAAACCAAGTTTCTTTGCATTTCTCCCTATAACATTTAGAGAAATTTTTGCCTTTTGGTTTTATCAAATTTTATAATTGAAAAATATGTTGTTTCGTCCTGTTCAATGGTATTTATAATGCTTGTTGTAATGCCTGATTGTGTAGTCCTTTTTAGCATGTGTTGAAAACTTCTATAAGCTTTGAGATGAAATGGATTTTTATTTTTGTTTTAATATCTCCTGTAGTTTTTCAATCAAGTTCTGGTGCTGGGAAGATCGTCAGTAAGTGATTTGTCAGAACATGTATTTGATCTGATTCAGGAGCTTTTTGCCATAGATCCTCATTTATTATTATCTGTCATGCCGCAGCTTGAATTTAAACTGAAGGTAGGACTGGCTATAATTTTTTTTTAAGATTTATTTATTTATGCATACAGAACTGGGGTATAGGCCAGAGGTGCAGGGGCGGTAAGAGGATTCACCAGACAGAGTGGGGAGCAGTGGACAGGTCAAGAGAGACATGTTGCTCAGGAGAGGTCTGCCACACCATGTAGATCACCTCGGGGCAGAGATCGAACTCATGCAGAAGTGGCTCTAGCTTCTAAGTGCTGTACTTTAACTACACCAGGGAGGGCCAGGACTGGCTATAATTTTAAAACCTTTGAAAGTTTTTTTTTTTTAGATTTTTTATTTATTTATTTATGCATACAAGAACTGGGCAGAGTTGTAGGGAGAGCATTCACTAGAGACATAGTGGGAGCAGACCAGGCAGATTGACCAAAATACACTGCTGATGGGAGCATCGGACAGGTCAAGAGAAACATGTTGCTCCGTGTGGGTCACCTCCTGGCCTGGGATTGAACTCATGCTACAGATAGCTTCATAGTGCTGCACTTTATTCTGTTAGGTCACCAGGAAGGCCCCTAAACCTTTGAAACTTTAAAAAATACATTGTCACAGTTTTTCATTTAACTATGAAAGAATAAAATGTCAGTTCAATTTATCTTATGTTTGGGTATACAGTTTTGAATGATTTGAACAAACATTTCTCTTTTGGTTGATAAGAGAATTTACATTGCAAAATTGTAGCTTAGGTAGTTTTACTATAACTGATAAATAACAGGGGTATAAGTAATAGATCAGAAAAGTAGTATTTAGAAACTTATAATGCGTGTTACTAAGTAGTGTTAATATATAGGTGTGTTTTAGAACTTCAAAAGATGTTCAGACTGAGTGCTCAAAGAGTTGTGGTTACAATTACATGACCCTTTTCAGGTATACAAGAGGGAGAAAAAATTGTATGGTGTGACATGGAAGTATATTTTTTAATCACCAACTAAGCAAGGATTTCATAACTCTTCAAAAAAATACGAAAAACTTGACATTTAGTCCCCTATCCTGGAGGAACTATCTTGAAAGGTTTTATCAACCTATGATACAATTAGACTAATCATACATTTAAATATTTTAGATAAAAACTGTTGATTAAATACTCTGTTCAGTTTACACACTTAAAACAATTTTAGGATTAGAACTCCCAGTTTTTAGACTCTGAAATGTGTGCAAGTAATTACAAACTATGAATAAGCATTGGATATTATGCTATCATGGACATTTTACTGGGTTTCTAAGAAGCTCCTGTGGAAAATATTACAAAGAGAACAGATTTTATTTTTTACTATTGTGTATTTATTTTAAAAACATTGTAAAAAGGTGTTTCTGTACTAAATTATTTCGAGGTATAAGGCACTAAAATGTTTTCTTCTAATCTATTCAGTCTGAATGTGCAAAGCTAAACCTCTTTAATCCTTAAAAAATAGTGCTATGGTAGTGGAAGGACTTAGACACTAAACTTTTAGATTTCCATGTATAGACTGGATGTAACTGCAGGTAGTTGTTCATACCCTATTCTTCATGATCATTTATTTATGTTCACTTATCTAAAGCAGAGGTTGCTAATTACCTCCATCTAGCCATACAATAGTTTTTATTTGATGGATTTTGTTATACTAGAATTTTCTTGCTTTATGCTGACCATTAATGAATAAGTCAGAAAATCAGATTTTGGTTAAAAGTCCATATATGAAAATAAAATAGCTACAGCTGAGTAGTATCCCTTAATTCCTCATAAGTTTTCCTCTTTACCATGATCCCCAATTACTTTTATCTTATGCCTTTTCTTTTTCATGGATACAATTTGATTTCATGGATTTACTTTAAAGGTATGAATAAAAACTTTAACAAGATTTCTTAATTCCTTTTTTTAACAAATTAATCAACATTATTTTTGACTATGTTGCTCCACTAGTACAATATATATAACAGGCTCTTGTTTGTTTTTTTCTTTCTAAGGCTATTGATTTTTAAGTTTTTCTCTGTTCTTCCATAATTCATGCTTATGAAAAAAATTAAAATGAATAATACTGTGCCTAAATAACCAAGTAATGGAATATTTTGTTTATTGTCAGACAATTGCCATCACCTCTGTTCTTACTATTGACTGCAACCCTAACCTGTACCAATTTTTTTCTTTTCTCATGAGAAATTAAGGTTTACTAAGAGTAAGAATAGTTGATAATATAACTAGTGTACTCCTTTTTGAATCACCAATATGTACTGAGCAGCTGGCCTAGAATGTTTTTATGACTGTAGTGATTTTCTGTAGTTATATCTCTGAATCATAAAGCTACAGGTTTTTGTTGTTAAAGAGTCCTAGGTTATAGTCCCCCCAAAAGCAATAAAAATGTCTGAGAAAATGCTTCAATATAATTTGATTTTATAGTATACTGGTCTGTTATATGCATTTGTATGTAATATCTGTGACATAGGATCATGGAGTGCTATTCAAGTTTAAGGAATACTTTGGAGTCGTGCTTGGTAGTAACCGTGACTTATTATCAGGAAGTTAACCATATTTTCCATTTAAGAGTCTTTCCAGGTGAGGGGGACAGAGAGAGAAAGAAAGCACCATTTACATTTATTCTCCAAATACGAAAATATTAAGCAATCATAGTGTGGAGTTTCTAATTTTTAATCCACTTTCTTAATTATTAAAATATGCAAATATACATAAGTATATACATATATTTAATTTCCACTTTGAGATACATTGACAATATAGCTATATATCAGAGACACCAAAATGCTTTTGCACCACATTAAAGTTACTAACACTACACTCTTACTCCAGCCTCATTCACAGAATGTATATAAAATTTTTAAACGGCCGAGGTGCAAGTTTTCACTTGGCATTTTTATTTCAACAGTTAAATATATAGATGTGAAATATCACATTATTTGAAATAATCACTAAGCTACTAAAGTAATCACATGCACGCAAATAAAATTTCCACTATTTTAGTGTTTGACATTTAAGGAATAGATTGATTTTTTTTTTCTAAAAAATAATGTCAGTAAATCAGACTGAAAGGTGGCATTAATCTGCGTTGTTGGCACATTGCCTGAGAAAAGTTTTGTCAAAGAAAATAATTTTGCAATTATAAATGTTAAAGCTTGATAGTTTTCATTTTATATGTTTCATAAGCGTGCCTATTTTGCCACAAATCCCCTTTCATTTGAGTTAAGACATTCATGGGGAAAAGATTATACACCATTGTCTTTTTCTTTTCTGACTTACTGTTCTTTCCCATGAGTATTTGTTTATTGAATTTCTGGTATAACTTTAGACATATATTGTCTTTTAACACTTTACAAAGTTAGCAGTTACTTTAAATTATTAAATTATTTTCCTAGTGAATTTTTACAAAAGTTTCACATACCATATGGTTTCACATTAATTTTCAGTGTTAAAATGACGTCACTAGTAAAATTAAAAGCGTTTTCATAGCATATATTGATTCCATAAGAAAATTAATCCTTGACAGAAAGCAATTTTAAACTATGTTTTCCTTTTTTCTTATCTTCAGTTAACCTGAATTTTTAGAGCCTCTTAAGATTCTTGTTCTCTGTTAAGTGAAGTTTCTTAAATCATGATGTTTTTTAGTATCATATTCTTCAACCATGTCAGACTCTTCATACTGGTCTAATAAAGTTTATTTGGGCAGAAATTGTTTACACCTTTTTTCTTCACTGAATTTTTTTTCTAGACTCTTTAAAATCTTAGAATTGAATGATTATCTTCATCTTACAGCATCTGTGACTAATGTGTAGATTGCAAGCAAGCAATGGAGTAAGAATAAATTAGCAGTTGGGAGAGTGTGAAGTAGGAGTAAAGAACCAGAAAATCTAACATGGAATCAAAATAGTTTCTGCACAGTAAATGAGAGCATATGATATCTTAAAATTTTGATCATTATAAGTAGAAATTTGAAATTTAGCTTTTCAGTAATGATTTGTAATCTGGTAAATAAGCCTCAGGCTTCTTTTATTTTCCCTTTTCCCTCAGAGCAATGATGGAGAAGAGCGATTAGCTGTTGTTCGACTTTTAGCTAAATTGTTTGGTTCTAAAGATTCCGATTTAGCAACACAGAATCGTCCTCTTTGGCAATGTTTTCTTGGACGGTAAGAGAACATACAAGTCTATGAATTCTTATTTTTAGAGGCAAGGCAGTCTGGGCCATTTGATAAAAACAACATATATCAAAACTTTGTTACAAGTTTGTTTCTCTACATTCTGTATTGCTGTCTTTCTTAGAAAATAAATTGTAGGAAAGATTTTTATGAAGAAAACTTATCAATGTAAATTTTTGTATTGTTAGTGCTTAAAACAATGTATTAGAATTAATAAAAAAGCAACTTTTGAGATGTGACCATCTTATAATTTAAATAAATCATGTGACTGTAGGATCTAATAGTCCAATTCAAGACATATTTAGTCCCACAGTTTATTCATTTAACTCTGGGTATCCTTTAAGTTTATATGCATGCTATGTTATTTTAACTAACTTGGTATCGTGTGATTTTGAAATTTAAACGTTGCTCTTACATGGTTTTTAGTGTTTCTTCAAAAGAATACTGAGTTAAGTTCTATTTAACTTGATGGTAAAGTTGACAAATCTATAATCATTAGTTTATTCACTTCCCTCTTGCATTCTAATTACATGTTTCTTTTCTTCACATATTACTTATAAAGTCTATCTTTTAGATTGTATTACTCTTTATTGAGGGCATTCTTTAATGTTGTTGTACAGCACTATATATGACGTAAAGGTGTGGTTCATACCTCTTCTGATGCATGTTACCATATGCCACACCCAGTATCAAAACACACATAATTCTAAACCAGAGTCCATTGAGCCACATCCTCTGTTCCTCAGCCCCCACCTCCCTTTCTGTTATCCTCAGTTCTCTAATCAGGTTCCTAGTGTTTGTTTTGTTTTAGTTTTGTCTGTTCCTTTGCTTTGTTTCTTTATATCCCACTTATGAGTAATATCATCTGGTATTTGTTTTTCTTCTTTGACTTAGTGTAGACCCTTCCAGTATTCCATTCACGTTGTCACAAATGGCAGGATTTTATCTCTTTATTTGTAAATAATTGAATAGGATCCATTCTGTGTGTAGACTACATCTTTATCCAGTCACCCATCATTGAGCATTTAGGTTGTTATCTAACATGACTTATTGTAATGCAGCAGTGAATAAAGGAGTGCATAGATCCCTTCAAATTTGTGGTTTTGCATTCTTCAAATAGAGAACTAGGAGTGGAATTGCTGGATCATATGGTAGATCTATTTTTGATATTATGAGAAACCTCCATACTGTTTTCCATAGGGACTGGACCAGTCTACATTCCCACAAATAGTGTATGAGGATTCCTTTTTCTCAGCACCCTGGGCAACTTGTTTCTGGTCTTTTTGATATGGATCAATCTTACGGTGTGAGGTGGTATCTCATTGTGGTTTTGATTTACATTTTTTCATATGCCTGTTGGCCATCTGTATGTCTCCTCTGGAAAAGTATCTGTTCAGCTCTCCTGCCCATTTTCTGATTGGGTTGTTTTCTCTTTGTTAAGCTATGCATTTTGTAGGTCTTGGACATTAGCCCCTTGAAAGTTGATTTTTACTGTCAGTTTTCTATAGCACATCTGAGATGTTTATTTCATCTGATTGTAAAGGTAGGCTCAGAAATCTTTTTAAGGTAAATTCACTGTAATGCTCCTTATAAGGAACCTAGGTTAAATATAATATTAAAATATAACAAACAAACCTGAGACATCTGACTCTAATATGATAATATCTTAAGTTAGTTGCCCAAAACAGGCTATGTTGAAGGTCTCAATAGCAGTAATGCTGACTACTGAACATGTGAGAATTTAGAATAAAGGAAACAAAGCAACTCTAATTGTCAGTATTTTCTGAGCTCTATTCTGACCTTGTGTTTGAATCTGTATATTTAACAAAAATGTAAAAGCTCATTTTTTACCTGGATTACTTTTAAAAACCAAATTAACCTTAAGAGACTTGTTACATTCATAATTTTCCATTAACTAATACTTCTTATAAATATGTCTGATTCATAGAAATGAAATATATTCACTTACTTTGCATATTATTTTCTTAATGATTTAGCATTAACTATTTTGATATTTTGTCTTTTGCTTGATAATAATAACATTTCCTTTTTTAAATTATAAGCCCTTTAACACATAAATCATAAAAATATCTCTGAATAAGGAAGTAGGAGGCCATGGACATTAAGACATTTCCTTAATAACTTGAGTTTAATTAGCTATTTTATGACATCACGTCAAAAGTAAAAATATTTTCCACTTAATGTCATTTTTATTTAATACGGTTTTTAAATTGGCCAATAAATTTTTAATTTGAGAGTTGCTCAGCATATCTTACTGTGTACAATTTTGAATCTATATGAGGTATCTTATATTTATTGAATTCTTGCAATATATTATAGAAAGCTTTAAAAGAGCACTTAAATACAAGTTGACCCAGTCACATGAAACTGTTGTGGATAGTATGACATGTGCACTTTATACATTATTCCTCGAACTTCTGGATATATATATTAATCTGATGCATTCTTATGATTTGTGTCTACCTTATATCCCTCTAGTATAACTCATTGTTTCAGCAGTTTAATGCAATTTGAATGTTTCTGTTTTATAATTTATGAAGAGCATAATTTAAAGCTCTTAAATTTTTGGCTCTACAAATTAAGTAGTTTGGGTTGGGGTATATGTTGGTTTTTGCTGCTTGTAACATAGAAACAAATACTGTTTAAGAGAATATTTTTCTGAAATTATCTTTTGCCTTATAGCTTTCCTTTAGGATATATTAATCTTTAGGACATATTAGCTATCACAATAACATATTTTCTGATCAGTAATTTGTTTTGTTTGTATAATGTTAGATATGCCTTTTTTGAGAAAAACTGTTTGCCTTGTATGTAATATTTAGCCTTTTTTTCTATATAGATTTAATGACATTCATGTTCCTGTGAGATTAGAAAGTGTGAAATTTGCCAGTCATTGTTTAATGAATCATCCAGATCTAGCAAAAGATCTCACAGGTAAGCTACCTGTTTTGTTACTTATATTGGAGGAATCACATACATATTTCACAGGTGGCCTTTTACCTTTATATGAAGTTTCTGACTAGGGTTTAACTGGCTATATTTAAGTCCATACCATCATACTAGTTAACGATTTTAAGTTTATATAATAAAAATTACATTTGAGGGGCTGTCCCTGGTGGCGCAGCTGGTTAAAGCACCGCATTATGAAGCTCTCTGAAGCCACTACAGCACAAGTTCAATCCCATGCCAGAGAGCTGACCCACATGGCGTGGCAGACCTGCCCACAGCTCCCCTCAGCAGTGTACTTCCTCGATCTGCCTGTTCTGCTCCCCCCTCAGTCTCTGGTGAATCTTCTCACCCACCACACCTGGCCTGTACCCCAGTCCTGTAAACATAAATAAATAAATATTTTTTTTAAATTACATTTGAAATCTTATAATCTTACAGGATTATTAATGTAATCCTGTAGCATTTCTTGGAAATCATTTTGCGAGATCATGGGCCTTTGTAACATTGGATTTGGGCACATTATGCTTATACTTATGTGATAATTAAACATTGTAACATATAATAGGAAAGTGATTGTTTTCTGGACTAATCAAGAATTTCTCATTCTTCATTTGCATGTAGAGCTTTTGAACTTTCTCATTGGGTAGTAACAAAAAAAATGGCTTCTATCAAAATTCTGATTACCAAAAATAGAAACTATTTTGCTTATGGTGTAATTATTATGGATTTTTTATAAAGAGGCTGTAAAATGTTATTCTATTATTTTATAGTGTATAATTTGCAGACATATCAACCTATTTTTTATAAGCTTTTTACTATTTTACTTTTAAAGCTGTTAATTTGTATTGTAACTGAAGTTCTAAACTATGTAATAGATACTGTGTTCATTTGACTTTTGTAGAATAGTTGATGTAAACTACATTAAGATGTGACTCCGCAGTGATGTGTTGATGTAGTTTTTGTTTCTGCCTCAAAAATAAAATGACTTTAACTCAGTCAACATTTTATAAGCATGGTTTCATTGGACAGAAGCTTAAAGCATTGTTAGTTTTTTTGTCATTGTGAGCATGGTAAATCAGTTACATACCTAACACAAGTTTTTTTCGTTATTGTAGAGTACTTGAAGGTCAGATCACATGATCCAGAAGAAGCTATTCGCCATGATGTCATTGTTACTATAATAACAGCTGCCAAAAGAGACCTAACCTTAGTAAATGATCAGCTACTTGGTTTTGTAAGGGAAAGAACACTGGATAAACGGGTAAAATCTGTAGAATTTTATTCTTTTTAACTTAGCATGTTTAAATTACTTGCTATATACAGTAGAAATTCCTGTTTAAAGTTTTTCTATGTGAAACTCAAATTAATACAATATCAAATAAAGAGCTACCGATTTATATGTTTCTTGTGTATTTTTAAATTATCTTTATTTTAATGAATGCTTTGGTCTATATAGATTTTTATTTCTCCGGCATGGGTTATCTTCAAGCTTACCTTTAAAAAAAGAAAAGCTAAGTTAAACAAACTTTTATTCTACTTTTTCACTTACATAATGAGTTTAAACAGAATAGTAATTGATGGCCTGCATTTAAGATCATTAGCATTCTAAAAATTACTTATCTTATATAACTTACTGAATCTGTCATTTGTTGAACTAAAAGAATACCTTACTTCATGTGAAGTAATGCCCAGACTATGGACAGAGATGATAGTTGTGTTACTCTTGTTGTGATTTCTCCATAAATAAAAGTAGTACTAAGGACAATGACAGTTCCTAAAAAGTGTCAACTGTATTTAAAAAATAGACATACAAGTCTGATGAACCTTATTACAAAGGTTGTCTTGTAATGTGCTATGAAAACTTGCTGTCTGTCTTCCCCAAACCAGTGCAGTTTAGCAGTATTTCTTATATATGAAATATAACAAAGAACCCCTGGTGGCTCAGGGTTTAAAGTCTCAGCACTGTCAAACTTTCACCAGCCATTGCAGAATGAATTTGATCATGAGCTCAATCCCTGGCCTGGGAGCTAACCCACAAAGCATAGTAGACCTCTCCTAACTCACCAGCTGCTCCCCTCACCAGTATATTTCCACAGATCTGCCTTTTCTGCTCTACACTTGGTCTCTGGTGAATCTTCTCAATCCCCTCGGGCCTATACTCCAGTTCCTGTATGCATAAATAAATAAAAATCTTTTTAAAAAAAATAATGAGGTATTATTTTAAAGTTCTTTTTCAGTAGTCATAGAGACAGAAATGTAAAATGGACACTTGAACTTGTTCAACTGTGTTGGTAATTCTAACGTTGAAGGGTTTTCACCCCCCAGCTTTAATTTAAAAGTAATGACTTCACTTTAATGAAATGACTTTAAATTTAAAGAGTTAAGAAATAACTCTTCTTAACGGTCAATGGGGAAATCTCTCTCTCATACATCTGATTTTAAGGTTTTGACATTTGTGTTGTATCTTCCCTTTTAGAATCATTTCACTCCTACTTTCCTTAATGGCTCTTTACAGTTTTATAAAGAGTTTAATTAATGAATCTTAACAACAACAGCATGGTATGGTCCTAATAACATCTACTAGACCTTGTTGGAACTGGTTTTTTGTTTTTTTTTTTTTAAGATTTATTTTTGCATACAGAACTGGGGTACAGGCCAGAGGTTAGAAGCAGTGAGAGGAATCACCAGAGACAGAGTAGGGAGCAGGTGATTAGGCTTTTGTTTGCAGAGTGAATTACATTCTTTCTCTGTTACCTTCTAATCACTTCTAAAACTTGGCTGAAATTATTTTAGATAAAACTGAATTAAATGGATGATATACTCTTGCTTGAATTTAAGGGAAATTTTAAAAAGTGGTAATCATTTAGCCATATTTGCATTGGGTAATTTCAGAAGTGTCTGATTTCTATGCAAGAACATAACTCAAATTTGTTGGTGAAGCAGTTTACCTTTTATGATAATAAATATGCCATAAACAGTGAAGATCTAGAATTTTGCAGATTAATATACTAAAGTTTGAGATCTAACTCATCTAACAAATCTTAAAACTTCTAGTGGCGAGTAAGGAAAGAAGCAATGATGGGTCTGGCTCAGCTGTATAAGAAGTACTGTCTTCATGGTGAAGCAGGAAAGGAAGCTGCAGAAAAAGTCAGCTGGATAAAGGACAAACTTTTGCATATTTATTATCAGAATAGCATCGATGACAAGTGAGTCTGATGTGTTGGTATAAGTATATAATTTACTTCTGGTTTTTTAAAGTAATTTATTCTAAATCTATAGATCACTTTCTGTATATTTATACATATTGTATTTAAATAGAATTAGCCAAGACTGTCAGATAATATGAGAGTTGAGAAATAAGCACAGGTTTTGTCATCACAGCAGGAACACATGTTCTTCCCCTTATTAGATGTTTGCTTTTGCTTAATTGGCTTCTGTAGTCCTTAGCTTTACATACTAGTCTTCCTCATAGTATTATCATTGGATTAAATAAAATGTAAAACTTTGTAGCCTAATTTCTGGCAGCATAGCACTATTCAATAGCTGGTAGTTATTATTTTTACATTTTTTGTAAAAAATTGTATATAGGTATTACACTATGTAGGTATTATTTTGTTTTTAATTTTCTGAATGTTATAATTCTATATAAAATTGTAATGATTTGTCAAGTACAGTGTTTCATTAAATTAGACATACTACTTTGTCATACTGAATGTTTATTTCATTGATAAGTGATGAGCAGTTATATTTTCCTATTTTAGTAATAGTGAATTATACATACAGGTTTAGCAAGAAAGGTGTTAAAATACCTGTCAGGAATTTAGATTGTGGAATGAAAATGAAAGATCAGATAGGCACAGGTAAGTTAACTTTTCAGGAAGCAATGTGAGGAGAGAACCTCAAATTTTACTAAAATAAAATATGAGAAGCTGAATTCAGGAAATTAATAATTTTTTGACAATTAAATATTCTTGAGGTCATATCTTTAAATAAAGAGTAATGTGTTATAGCTTAGAACTGGTAGGTCGAAGGACCTAGCATCCTATGTTTAGGAATATTATAAAATCTTTTTAAAATAATTCATACTGATAAAAAGTAAGATCACAAAAACCAACTATAATTCTAAATTTAAAAATAACTTTTCAAGAAAGGGAACTGATTATATACTCATCTTTCCTATTGTATTTACATGCACAAGTGTCGCCTTTGGGGTTATATCTGCGTAAGTTGACTAAAAATGTTAAATGACTATTGCTTCTAAAAAGTAGAATACTTGTATTATTTGAGGGTTTTTTGTTTGTTCATAGACTATTGGTAGAGAAAATCTTTGCTCAGTACCTTGTCCCCCACAACCTGGAAACAGAAGAGAGAATGAAATGCTTATATTACTTATATGCTAGTTTGGATCCAAATGCTGTCAAGTAAGTTACTTCATAAAATTTATTTTACCTAGTTAATTTTGTTGATGGGAGCAGTGTTTTTTTCTAATTAAATCAAGAACCTCATATTCACTACTTACAGAGAAAATAGGTTTGCAAATTACAATGTTTGAGCTAAACTTACTACTTTGTTATAATTGAATAGGTACTTCATTGATCACTGATGACCACTTGCATTTTCATATTTCAGTGATACCAAATAATAAATTTAAGAAAGTCAAAAGCAAGAGTATTCAATATGCATAGACATCATTTGGCAAAATTGAGTTAGCTTTCTAGTTTCACAAATTGAAAGACATCCTGTGTCAAAATTGTTTTGCCCACTTGATGACAGGACTCATACTTACAGTTGGAGCTTTCCCACACCAAGTCTAACAACTAAGTGCTGGTTCTTTGTCTGGAGAGCATATCCCAGTCACCTCTATCTAGCATGACCTCAAAATTGTCCAAACTAGGGTATTTTTGAGACTGAAAGTAAAAACTATTAATGGTCTTGTTTGGACAGTTGGGATAAATTTTAGTTGTCCCAAACCAACTACGATGTATTGTATGGTCACTGCACTTCAATAAACATTTTAAAAAGCGAGAAAATAACAAAAAATAGTGAACAACCATCTGCCAGAGACATTTTGTGGGGTTGGAGTGGGGAATGGGATCAAAAACGGGGGGGGGGAATGCACGGGATTATGGTGATAGCACACGGGTGACTTGGTGATGGGAAACCCGCAGGGATTACAATCGAGATGGAAAAAAAAAAATGTGCAAAATGATGTAAAAATAAACTTTTGGGAAAAAAAAAAGTAAGTCCTATCTTTGAAAATTGATTCTTTTGAATCCAAACTCTTACTATTTATAACATGTACTCACAAAATTTCTCATTGTGTAAAGTTATAGATGCACATATGTAGTCTTTAATTTTCATACAACTTTCACTTACAGTAAAACTGCAATAGTAAAAGCATTGTGATATCCCCTTTCCTTAAAGTCATCAATTTTGACCAGTCTTTTTCATATGCTTTTTCTTCATCTCCGTACATATTTCCTTCTGAACCATTTGAGAGTTGTAGACATTGGATACCCTTCTTTCTGTCTGTTTCAGTGTATATTCCCTAAGAGGTTGTGCATTGTCTTATATAATTTGAGTACACATAAAAAAGTCAGATTTGACATTGATTGATAAATTATTGGCTTATCCAGTGTGTATTCAGAGTTTCTCAATTACCCAAAATAACATTCTTCATGAGCATTTTTTCCCCTTTCTAGGATTATACAGTTTGTATTTAGTTGTCTTGTCTTTTATCTCTTTTGAAACCATTCTTTAATCTTTACTTTTGGTGACTTTGAAGGCTTTTTTCTCTTTTTTTTGGAGAATATTGTATACACTAGTTACTTTATGGAATGTTCTCTCAACTTGAACTCATTCAGTGTTTCATTAGTATTAGATTGAGGTAGTGTATTTTAAGCAGAAATCACACAAAATTATCCTGATCTTGCACGTCTTCAGTGCAACATATCAGAAGGCATTAGCCATGATTTCTTTTAAAAAGATTTGCACATGGGTATTAATGCCTACTCAAGGTTGTAAATCCCTTGATCTATAGTTTTGATGTATCTTCATTTCAAAATAGTTGGCAGAGATTTAGAAAATAGACTAATTTCTCAAAGGAGCACCAGGTACCTGGAATTAATGATTGGGATTTATGAGAATATCTACTTTTATGGGGACAGAAGGGTCTAGAATAAGCACATTCAACTAAATTTGACATCCTGAATTTATGTTGCTTCTAAGAAAATCATTATTTGAAATAATCTGAAATCTTTCATGCATACCCCTTGAAAGAAACTGTATAATTTCATTCTTTTCTGTGGTATGTTTCAGTGTGCTGATGTTCCTCCAATCATACTATGTGCTCCAGGCCTGTTGTCTTTTTTTTTTTTTTTTTTTAGTTAGTTATATATGCCATTCACTTTGATGACATTTCTTCTTTCTTTGTACCAGAACATTCTAACTACCTCTACTTATATTGTCTTTCAATTTCTTCACTTACTGGTAAGATCCTGTTAACTCCCGAAATATTCTCTTATAATAAGCCTTATGGTACTTTCAAATTAAACTACCTTAATCCAAACAGTAATTTTTCTGGTGCTTAAAATTTTAGTTAACTGTAAGAAATATGATGTATTTTCACCATTCAAAAAAAATGTAGTGAGATTGAATACTGTCAGTATTGTTATATATTTTTTTCAAGTTTATAACTTTATTTACAGAGCACTCAATGAAATGTGGAAATGTCAAAACATGCTTAGAAGTCATGTACGAGAACTACTGGATTTACATAAGCAGCCTACGGTACATTTATGATTTGCTTAAATTCATAGTTTACTAGACATTGTTCGGGGGGGGTTTTGTTTGTTTGTTTTGTTTTTGTGATTTAAAGAAGGAAACAAAAGTATCCCATTTCATTTTTCCCAGTGAATTAATCATACCTGTATTTATCCAAACTAAAAGTGAAGATAGCAAACTATTTTCCAGCAAGGGCTAAGAAATGGTATTTTCTAGTTATCAAGTATTTTAATACTTAAGAGTTTATATGCAATTTTCTGATTTTAAAATGAAATTACACTTAGATAAATTTATAATAGAAGTCATAATTTTTTGGACTCCCTGGTTTTTGTTTTTTTTTTTAAAGATTTATTTATTTATGCATACAGAATTGGATACAAACCAGTGGTGCAGGGGCGGTGAGGGGATTCACCAGAGAGAGAGACTGGGGAGCAGAACAGGTAGACTGACAGGTACACTGCTGAGGGGAACAGTGGGTGGGTCAAGAGAGGTCTGCAGTGCCCTTTGGTCTGCTCCCTGGCTGGGAATGGAACTCATGCTGCAGTGGCTTTGGATAGCTTCATAATGCTGCACTTTAACCCATTGTACCACCAGGGGGGGCCCCCTGCACTCCCTGATTTTGTTACTTAGCATCAACATCAAATATAAAATCAAACTTTTTATAACAAAAATTAAAACTCCACCTGACATTTTCTGGACTACAGTAGACAGAAACTTAAATGATCTCTTAATAAATGTATTTGCTGAAATAGATCTTAACCTGGAAACCTGAGACAATGGCCCCTGAAGGACCCACAGACACCAGAGCAAGGGCCAGCAACATTTTTTGGAAATGACCAGATAGGAAAATTTTAGGATTTTACAGCTTTATAGTCTCTGGTAAACTGCTCAATTCTGACTTTATCCTGCAAAAGTAGTCAAAGACAATGTATAAGTAGGCGTGGATATTTACCAACAAAAATAGGTGGCCCCTGGAAAAATAGTTTATCAAACTACTCAACGTTCATACTAGTTAAAGCTAATAATATGCATATTAAATCAAAGCAAAGAAATACTCAATGATAGAAGAGAATGAAGTTCTAGTTCTGAGGTTATATAAATAGTGGACCTCTATTACTTTATGCAGGAAGAAAGTTTTTCTTCATTTTTAATTTTCTTAGGTGTGTAATAGTAATTTTGAGGTAATAAATGTCTCCGTTATCTAGTGTTCAATCTTCTGGCTAGATATCTTTCCCAGGGAAGTATGTACTTTTAATTTCTAAATGCCTTCCTGCTAATACTGCCTTTCCTTCTACTTGTCATAATAGTTGTTGCTATTCCACAATTCTTTATTTAATCAACTTAGTGTAAATATATGGTAAGCTATTTTCTAATGGGTAGATTGTGATCTTTTTTAAATACACTTTAAGAAATATATATTGAATACTAAGTATAGATTTTCTTATAGAAATTGGTTAGCAGATATGATTGGTTATGTTATTTTTGTTCTAAATTTCAGTCAGAGGCTAACTGTTCCGCCATGTTTGGAAAACTGATGACCATAGCAAGTGAGTATGTTCACTTACTCTGTAGATAAACATCAACACAGGTAAGTAATTTGTCCCGTAGAACTATCAATTTAATACAAAGTAAGAAAATTGTCCTTACTAACTTTATTTCAAAGAACTAGATTGTCTTTACCTAATTCAGCACTAGTTTAAGCTTAGTAGATTTTATTTTAATATCTTTTGTAATGTTGACTCTGTTTACTATAACAGAGAATTTGCCTGATCCTGGAAAAGCACAAGATTTTGTGAAGAAATTTAACCAGGTTCTTGGTGATGATGAGAAATTGAGGTCTCAGTTGGAGTTATTAATCAGTCCAACGTGTTCGTGCAAACAGGCAGATGTTTGTGTGGTTAGTAGATCATCTTTTTACATTTATTCTCCTAATTTTTCTAGTGGGAAGTTGTTTCATTAACACCTCATTTATATGGATTATTTTATTTGTAAGAGTTTAACAATCTTATAACCGCTAAATTACCTAGGAGTTATCTGTGTTCTGAGTTCTTTTTACTTAACAATTTTCAGCCAAATTCCAAAATAACAACTTAAACCAGTGAGATTGTTCCTATAACTGAGTGAAATAAAATGCTTTGTATTTAATAATGTTCAATAAGAATTTTCTACATGTTTATCCTTCTCCCATGGGTTTGCATGAAAATGACCCTTATCAGTAAGTTGGCAATAGTTGCATTGCCACAAGTGCTTTTATAGATATGGTAATTCCTGTGTGTGCTTTTGTTTTTAACCATTTGATTATTTCTTTACTGTTAATGTAATAAAAAACCAGTATCATTGAAAATATCAAAAAGGAAATTTCAGCTGCTCATTCAGCATTTTATGAAACAGTTCTATGTTTGAATTTCAGCTTTACCATTTATTACAGTTGTGACCTTTAGGAAGTTCTTATCTGTAAATATTAACATAGAGCATCATAGGTTGTTAAACAATTTTTCTATATCCTTATGATGAGGCTTACTGAAATGAGTAAGAGAAAAAATTATGTCAAATATTTATCTCTAACTTTGTTTTAGCTAAAGTGGAATGATTACTTAAATATACATAAGAGATAAGAATGTATAATTGTATATGTGGCTTACAAGCATGGAGTGATACTTTTTTATTCAGTCTAGGCATACAGAATTATCAAGTGAAAGTAAAAGAGCCAATAAGAAGAGATGAGGACTGAGAGCAGAAAGCAATGGGGTCTTCTTTTGGGCTAGGAATATGGATGCGTTATATGTGTCCATACTATCTCAGTTGTACTTCTGAGCTGGGCACTTTGCTGAGAACACGCATTTCAGGAATGGTCCAGCTTTTGACATATCTTTATAGAATATTCTACCATACAGCCACAGACAAAACCAGGCTCCCAAAACCCTGGTAATGAACTATTTATCTTTCTGCCAAGAAGATTGGGCACCACACCAGCATCTGTGTATGGTGTGTGCCAAGGCCAACTTCTAGTAAATCATGTTGTGAGACCTAACGTTCTTACAAGACTATCTAAACCAACAAAACAAACGTGTAAACAGGGCCTATGGTGGCTAAAGGTGTACTAGATGTGTCTGTAATGGTTGCTAGCACGTTTTTCTTATTGAGGAACAGAAAATCTTTTGAAATTATTTAAGGCACAAGTAGAGTCACATAACTATGTAAAATAGAAAGCTTTTTTTTTAAGTCAGGAGAAAAACAAATGCCATATGAGTTTACTCATGTGGGATATAGCAAAACAAAGGAACAGACAAAGTAAAACAAGCCCTAGAAATGTGACTACAAAACTAAGGCTACTGAAAGGGGAGCAGAGTATAGAAAGGATCCAGTGGATTCTGGTGGAGGACTATGGGTGCTGTCGTGGTGGCTGTAGTAACATAGATTGAAGGAGGTATAAGCCTATACCCCTGAATTAGTGTTCTATACCAGTGTTAACTACAGTATTAAACACTTATAATGAGTATTTTTTAAGTAAGCTTTTTGAGTTAAAAAAAAAAAAAAAGGTTCATCTACTTCTTCGCCCTTTCAAGTTCTAGTCCCAAAGCATTAGGTCCTGCAGGCCTCTGCTAATATAATTGGATCATAGGATGAAATACCTTAGGGATATTTACTTGGTTTAACCACTTCATGTTATAGATAAACATTGAGTTTGGGGAAGTAAAGATTCTCAGTGTTTAGTAGATGTTTGTAGTGGCTAAGGTAGTAACTCAGTCTTACACTTATCATAGAGTTCTTGCTATACATTCATCATTGTTTGCAAGAGAACCAATACAAACCAAATATTGCCGAGGAAATGTGAACTTTAGGAAATAACAAGCAAGTGGTATTTTGTTCTAAGAAAAAACAGGAATTGTGTTTGGGTTTGAAAAAAATAACAGTAACATAAACCCCTATTACTAGTCAGACCAGAAATAATTTGTTTTCAAATCCAAAAAAGATGTTTGCAACCCAAAATGCCTCTGGATGAGTGTTAGTGCTATACAGATTTTAGAAACCAAGAAAGGATGATGACGAAAACTACACTTGAGCTGCAAAAAGAGTATGGTAATGATGATGCTTTTTTTTGAGAGGAAGATATTTGAATACTGGGTCACAAATAGTTAATAGATCTCTAGTCTAGAAGGAAAAAAATTTATATATGTAGTTTTTGGTGTGTGTAATTCACAGGAATTTCTCCAACTCTTACACTAGCATTGTGTATTTTAAGAAACTATTTCACTTGCTGATATATTTAGTCTGTGAAGTAGTACTTACAATATCCTTTAAACTCAAGAAAATGAACAGAATAATTTTTGACATTTTTTCAGACTATATATTATCTTGTCCCCTCTAAGGGCTGCTGATATTGATTACATATATCCTCCATTTCCCACATTCTTTTTTCCTATTGTTATATTCTGAAATAGAAAAGAATAAAAATGAAATATACCAAAAATAATTAATTTCTGTCATTCTGTATACCACTCATTCCATCTTTGAGACTCCCTTTTCTGTCCCTTTTATGTACTTAATTCCATCTCCTTTTTTTCTAAACAGTAGTCACTTTTCACTTCTAAAGATGTAAGCATTTCAGTAATTGATTTAGTAGGAATGGAAATCTAGTATTTTCCTCTTGTTTTGGTTTCATTCCTGAAAAAATTGTAGCAAATACACTTTAAGGAATAACAATAGAGGCATAGTATGGATTAATACATAATAGTGAGAAAGAGTGAGTAGTAGTATTCAAATACATGGTGCATATGTGTGTGTGTGTGTGTGTGTGTGTATGCTTTCCCTTTGTAGTTCAAGTTTTGAATTTTAACCCCTTGCTTCTTGAAAAGGACCATAAATGTCAACATTTTTTTAAAGGAAGCTTATTAATTCAACATTTAAGATAGTTCTAGGTTTCAATTTCAGCAGTACCATTTATAACCAGTGTTACCTTTTGTAAATAACTCCATATTTTTGAGCTTCGTTGTCTTCACCTATAAATATTATCCACTTACTAGTATTGTTAAAACAATAAAGTGAAATTTTATGTATAGACTAATATAATATAGGGCCCCTTGCACTGCCCTATAAGATATAAATAGTTATTCTTATGGCATATGTATGTGACAAGCAATAGGAATTTTTTAAATAGTTCTGGAATGGGATCATGTGTCTCCATTTTACTTAAACTTATGTTTAACTGGTCTCAAAGTGATTATATTATTTGTTAAGTCACACTTTTAAAACCATGCTGTCTGGATATGCATTGTATCTTCAGAAGTCCAAATTTCATTTTGTTCCTTGACCAAACTTATACCATTATCATTCACCACATAATTTAGTAAATTATATTATAAATGGTTTCACTGAGGTTGCAGTTTAGGTGACAGAGGCAGACACATTACAGTATGCATTATACTCTGTGATATTAAGTGTTCTGATGGAATCATGCTTTAATAGCAAATGATAGGCACTCCTCTTAGGTAGAGATAGAAATAAGAATAGCGTGCCCTCTCTGGTGGCACAACAGGTTAAAGTACAGCACTACAAAGCCGGCTGCCAGTTAGGTGACCCACATGGCACGGCAGACCTCTCCTGTCTTGCCCACTGCTCCCCTCAGCAGTGTACTTCATCAGTCTGCCTTTTCTGCACCCCACTCTCTCTGATAAAATATCTCAACCCAGCACCTCTGGCCTATATGCCAGATCTGTATGCATAAATAAATAAATAATATTTAAAAAGAGAGGGAGAAATAGGAATAGCTTTTTCTAGAGTAAATGATGACAAAGTTGAATCTTAAAGGATAATTAGAAATTAAAGAATGACTGCCATATCTTTTAACTTGGATAACTGGAGTCAGAGGAGTACATTTAGGGACAGAAGAAGATAACAGTGTGTGTTCTCTGTGTGCTCAGAAGCCTGAGACTTATGCCTGAATATATATCTGAGTGCATTTGTATCTCCTAGAGATAGAAAGGGAAAAGTACAAACAGGAAAGAGATAACAGTTATTTAATAACAATTATAAAATACTTACTGGTTTTACCTTTTTTATTGTTTAACGCAAATGATACACTGGTCACTATAACATGAGAGTTAAATCTTTGAAATTATTTCTTGAAGAAATTGCTATATCTAGTTTACTTAATCCCTCTGGAAAAAGTTGATAATTAATTTTCAGTAATTCCTCATAGGACTCATTTTGATTATTTAGAACAACAAAGTATGCAAGACAGTATGTGAAGGATACATTTTTTAAATGAACATATATTTTTCTTTCAGAAAAAGAAAGAAAAAATGTACGAAGGAGAAAGGGAGTGATATGTAATTACAGAATTTTTAGACTGTGTATGAGAGAAAGAATAAGATTAATAACTTGTAAATTTGTTGAGATTAGAGACTTATTTCTTTGATATTCCAAAAGAGTGCTCAATATACTAAACAACTTACGTAACCACTAATATGTACTAATAGTGGTTTCAGTCTGTAGTGATAACGTAGATATGATGTGAAATTTCTGAAACACTGTCATGGATTCTTATCGTTTGCAAAATGATTATTTCTTTTGACGTTTTCTCAAATGTTTTTCAGTTTTAAAACTTCTGTTGTTTTAGATGTTTATGGATTGAGTGATTTTCTCTTCCCCCCTTTGAATGTTTAAAGAAAACTGGTGCTGCTTACCTTTCACAAACTCATTTGACTTGCTCTGTGTCCCAAAGACTATCACACATTTAATATTGTAAATTACTTGTTATGAGAGGCTACCTAAATATTACCGACACAAAATATTGTTATGAGAAAATGGGGGAAAATACATTTTTTTTAAATTGTGTCTGGTATTATTTAAGTATATGTGTGTGTTTTATATTACTATTGGTATGATTTAATAAATGTGACATATTTTTTCCTTTAGCATTTCCTTTCTTTTTTTCTTTCTTTTTTTTTCCCTATGCTTACATATAGTGCCATAACTGTCTTTCCTCATTCCGGGTTTTTCCTTTTATTTTTCCCCCCTATTTTTCAATAATATATTTCAAAATTCTGGCTAACAACATTCTAATAGACATTTTTTTGTTAGACATCATTAACCTTATCTTAGCTTAACACAGATAAATTTTGTACTGCTTAGTAAAGGGACAGTCCCCTTTTGGGGAAACATACACACAATAAGTTCACTTTCAGATATTAGTGTTCAAATCGCATTTAAAATGTGAACATGCAGTTTACAGTAAGGTACACAATGACTAAGCACCAACTAACATTTTACTTTCTCAAATACTGACTCTCAATACTTTTACTCAGCTAATTATAGCTTGCAGAATAAATCAGACATCTTATAATGATTGTTTTCTTTGAACCTCAGACCTTTTAACTCACATCCCAGTTGCAAACACAGATATCTAATTTAATGATCTATAGTTAGTTTGCATCAAGATTAGTTAATGAAACTACAATAGAATTTTATTCTATTTCCTTTACTCTCTTGAACATCTCACTAAAATATTTTGTATGAGACATGTTTATAAAGTATCATTTATATAGTTTGGGAAGCACTTATAATGGACTTCATCCTCACAGCTAAAATGTACATTTACTTATGAGAGCAAATTTTAAACCTTGTTTTTATACTAAATTCCTCTCCTAGAGCCTAGTACATTATAAATTTAACCTTGTATTTGGGAAAATAAGTCTTCATAATGACTAGGTCTTTATATTCTTTAGAAAATTTCAACAATTATGTCTTTTCATTGTAGACTTGTTTCATGTAATACCTATACCTCTATTTTTAAACTCAACTATGTTATTCCAGAACTGAAAAAAAACTTTACAAATATTTATACACTGATGAATTTCCCTCTCTTAAAAAAAAAAAGTAAAATCTATCAATCAAATAAACCAATCAAATATATCCATGAAAGATGATAAACATGCCATCCTTTTTCTGTTCTCCACAATCCTGGTTTTATGATTACCTGATAAATATGTAATTTTAGCCATAGTTCAAAGCAGTTTTTTATTTTTTTTTTAACTTCTGCTGGTTTAAATTTTTAAATACTTTGAGACTACAATCTTTTATTTTTGAAAAACATTAAAGGGAATGATGCTTATTGCAAAATTTTTTATTTTCTATAGAGAGAAATAGCTCGGAAACTTGCAAATCCTAAGCAGCCAACAAATCCTTTTCTAGAAATGGTCAAATTTCTGTTGGAAAGAATTGCACCTGTGCATATTGATTCAGAAGCCATAAGGTAAGTCGACAAATATATTCGTTTACAAATAAGAAATAATATGAAAATAAGATAGATTCCAGCATCCCATAGTAGATGCCTAAAACCTCGTATATTGCCAAACCCTACGTATGCAATAATTTTTCCTATACCTGCAGATCTAGGATAGTTCAATTTCTTCATTAAGCAACAACAGGGCCTCGCTGGTGGCACACAGTTAAGTTTCAACACCATGAAACTGTCACTAGCCACTGCAGCAAGACTTTGATCCCTCACCAGGGAACTGGCCCACATGGCACAGCAGACCTCTCCTGTCTCGCCCATTACTCATGTCAGCAGTGTATTTCCATAGATCTGCCTGGCCTGTTCTCCACTGTCTTTGGTGAATCCATTTATCCCCTGCACCTCTGACCTCCACCTCAGTTCTTACATAAATAAGTATAAATAAATCCTTTTTAAAGAGATTAACAATAACAACATAATAAAATACAACATTTATAGTCAATACAATAAAAACCATGTGAATGTGGTCTCTACTCAAAATACCTTATTATACATAGTAATTTTGGGCTGGGCCTCCTTGACAGCCTAGAGCTTAAGTCTTAACTGTTGTCACCTCTGCAGCCTAAGTTTGATTCCTGGCCAGTATGCTAACACACATGTCACAGCACATGTTACTTCCCTCAGCAATGTATTTTAGTAAATCCTCCTGTTCTACGGCCCTGTCTATCTCTGGTGAATCCTGTCAGCCTCCCAGCACTTCTGGCCTACACCCCAGTTCTTCTAGATGCAAAAAAAAAAACCTGAACCATGGTTGACTTCTGGTAACCATTGAATGCAAAACTTCAAATAAGTAACTACTGTATAATCACATTCTGTGCTAGCTAGGACTTGAATATATATATTTGTGGGTACACAGTTTAGCTGATAAGAACAGAATTTGCCTACTTTTTTTTTTTTAACTGGATTGCTTTATTCCTTAATTTCCTTGGTTCCAAATTAAAAAAAATAAGGTTTTGAGAATATGAGTTTATTCACAGATGGACAATGACGAAAACCATAACTTAAAGCCTTGTTATTTTCCATTTCAGTGTCCTTTGCTCTCTACTGTTTGTTTTTAATGGGGTTAATCAAGGATACACTAGACTTAGACACTCTTGCATTTGTATATTGACTGTGAAAGAAACGTAATGAAATAAGGGAACATTTGCTATTACTCTTCGTGAGTCTTTGCAGAGATTCATTACTTTAGTAAGCCAAAACGAGCTAGTGTTTGTTCTCGAGTCTTAGAAAACCAAAAATTTAGTTCTTTCAGTAGCATCATGAGTTATTTGTGCTATAGAGAATATATTGGTCAGGGTTTCTAAAAGACTGGATTTATGCAAAATTCCAATTTTTTATTTTTAATGAGTAGCATGTATCAATGTAATACTCCTTTATGTAGCCAAATTTTCATGGAATATTAAATTGTAGATAGGCAGTTTATTCATATAACCTCAATTTAATGGGGCAATTTGTAACATATACTGGGTAAGTGGAAGAGGATAGTTAACATAACCCAAGTTGTTAGAGCAGGCTCCTGAGAAAGCAAATAAAAAGAGTAGTGAATGATCAGTAGGAATTATAAAGATTAACTAGGTGGTGATTTCTGGGAAAGGACAGCCCAAGTCACTACTTGGGTGTCCTTGTGGGGGTTATTTAAGCTTCCCAGAGCTTAATTTTCTCATCTTTAAAATAACCCGCATGGTGTGGCAGACCTCTCCTGGCCCACTCACTATTCCCTTAGTAGTTTATTTCAGTCCATCTGCCTGTTCTGCTCCCCACTCTGTCGTTGGTGAATCCTTTCACCCCCTGCATCTCTGGCCTATATGCCAATTCTGTATGCATAAATAAATAAACCTTTTAAATAGAGGTAGAGATAGAACCTTTTTTTTTTACAGAAATATTTTTTTCTCAGATGGTGTATCCTTAAAAGTATTTATATACCATAGTACTTGGCCAGTACAAAGTTGTCGTGTATGAAGTAGTGATTATAGTAATGGCTGAAATCTGGGAATTTTTCTTTAATTTCAAAAGAAATGGGTCAAGGACTGAATCCTAAGGTAACTTAACAAGAGGCTGTCAGGACAGAAGGAAATCATTAAGTTAAAAAGCAATGTTTAAAGGAAGCATGGTAAAAATAAGATGTCAGGAAATAAAGATGTCACAGAAGTCAAAAGAGAAACCAAAAAAGTAAATAGTTCAACTGGGCCATTCTTGACAGTTCAAGGAGTAATAACTCAGCACTATGAAGCTATCTGCAGCCATTGCAGCTCAAGTTCGATCCCCAGCCAGGGAACTAATCCACATGGAGGGGCAGTAGATCCTCCCCTGTTTTATCAACTGTTCCCCTCAGGGTATTTCAGTAGCTCTGCCTGATATGCTCCCCACTCTGTCTCTGGTGAATCCTCTCACCCCTGCACCTTTGGCCTGTACCGTAGTTCTTACATGCATAAGTAAATAAAAATCTTTTTTTTTTAATTTAGTTAATAATTTGACTAAAACTTGCATAACACAAAGGAGAAAATGTTACCTAAAACTTTTATATTTAGTTTCTATTTGTTGAATATTTTCTATTTTTAGGCCACTCACTAAGAAATTAATGTATTCAATAAGGTCCTCACCAAGATATCCTAGTCTCAAAACCAGAAATTGCACCTATTTTACTCAAAAATGGTATCATGTTGCTGCATTGTCTTTTGTTGCTCAGGAAATACTCCATTTTATAGTGGTTAGGTATATTTGAAATTAATTCTGGGGCCCTCCCTGGTGGCGCAGCGGGTTAAAGCACAGCACTGAGAATCTAAAGCCGCCTCCGCATGAGTTCGATTCCCGCCTGCCCCAGAGGTGACCACATGGCGCGGCAGACCTCTCCTGACCCGCCTGCTGCTCCCCTCAGCAGTGTACTTCGTTGATCTGCCTGTCCTGTTCCCCACTCTGTCTCTGGTGAAGCCTCTCACCGCCCCTGAGCCTCTGGCCTGTACCCCAGTTCTGTATGCACAAATAAATAAATCTTTTAAAAAAAAAAAGAAAGAAAGAAATTAATTCTGTAATAATGGAAAATAGTTTTTAATATATGAATTTCTTTATAGATAGAAATATCCATGATTCTGATGAATTGCTTCTTTACTATAAATTCCTAGAAATGGAAATATTAGATAGTTAATTAATGGCCAATGACTGATATCTTAAGATATGTACTGTTTATTTTTTCATTGGATAAATTTTCATTTGCCCATTTAAGCAATTGCCATTGTACTGTTTTTCTTAAAAATTTAAATGATCTCTTTATATAAGTGGATGTTAAATTGCTTATACTTATAAATTTCCAGTGTATGTGTCATCTAATTTTAGTTTTGTTGTTTTCCAGTAGAGTTTTTTTACATAGATTATTAGGGAAAGAAGGTAAACTCTAAAAATAAGCATAGCTGTCAAGCAAAGAACAAAGTTTAAAAAGTCACAAAATAACTCTTTACCCAGAAACATATTTTCAATCTGATGTTTGATTATATATTCTATTACAGTAGAGTTAGGAGTTAGAATACTGTTACTAACCTATATATATTTTTAACCTATGTATATTTTTTCTTTTAACAGTGCACTAGTAAAGTTGATGAATAAATCAATAGAGGGGACAGCAGATGATGAAGAGGAGGGTGTAAGTCCAGATACAGCTATTCGCTCAGGACTTGAACTTCTTAAGGTACTTCTAAACATTTTTGTTTCCATGCATTTCCATAGTTGTAATTTGCATTCCTCTAAGAATATGCAAAAGCCAGGCTCAATTAATGGAATCTATAAAAAGATTTTTTAAATGTGTCAAAATCGTATTTATAAAATAACGTATTTTGGCTTTTGCTATTTTTATTCATCACTTGAAAGCTTACTACACTTCTAACAGTATATACTAAATAATCAAGTCTTAACTTTCAAGGAACCTGCATTTGAGATCAAAGGCCTACTTACTGGATGTATTTTAATGGCAAGTCTTGCTTAATCAGGTGATTTCTAAACAATTGGTAATTATAACAGATGCCATACCAAGAAATTCAGATTTGAAAAATTAGTAAGATCTAAGTCAGGCTTTGTGGACATATGATTAATCTAAGGGGAATGTGGTATCATCAGAGAGAATAATTCTTGACATATGTGAAGTATTGTTGGTAGTCTAGCCTGACTAGAGGAAGAATTGCTTTGGGGAATGATGGGAAATAAAGTTAGCTTGAGATTATGAGTTGCCATCAAGGCCGAAGGTACTGTCAATGAACTTTTCATATGAAACAGCTCTTGAGAGAACTGTCAGTGAATGAAGCAAAGAGAAGAAATTGAAGACAAAATGACACCTAGAGTATTCCGATATATAAGCGAAGAGTGAAGAAGCAAACCAGTGCAGTGGATATTATATGGAAAGATGTGATGGGATTATAGTGTGATGGTCTTAAAATATTATTTCATTGGGAAAATTGACATTTCTTGAATAAGATTTTAATTATATCTTCAGTAATGGTGATATATTTTTAAATAGTTCAAGAGTGATATCTTTAAGATAACCTTTTTAACAGATAGTTTTTTTCAATTTAGTTACTAAGATTAAAACCTCACAACTAAACATCACTCTAAATTTCTCCATATGAGCTTCCACTTTATAATCTATTAAATGCTATTGAGGGCCCTCCCTTGGTGGCACAATGAGTTAAAAGCACAGCCAAGAAGTGTCTGCAGCCACTGCAGCACAAGTTTGATTTTGGCCAGGGAGGGTGACCCAAATGGTGTGACAGACCTCTCCTGACCCCACCCGCTGCTTCCTTCAGCAGTGTACTTTTTTGATCTGTCTATTCTGCTCCCACTCTGTCTCTGCTGAATCCTCTCACCCACCGCACCTCTGGCCTGTTCCCCAGTTCTTGTATTCATGAAAATAAATAAATTCCTTCACCATTCCCCCATCTTCACTTCTCTACACTCTTGGCCCTTATTTGTGATATTATGCTAACTGGATTGTTTGCTTTTTATGGAAGGTAAACTTGTGTCAAAATAAATATAGCAACAATTAATCTGTTTGTAATAGGGATTATTATTTCACAATAATGTCTTCTGTGTTACAGTTATTAACTTTTTGTGATGGCTTTCAGTTAAAATATTTCCTTATAGATTATATATATATATATATACATATTTATTTTTTTTAAGATTTAATTTATTTATGCATACAAAACTGGGGTACAAGCCAGAGGTACAGGAGTGGTGAGAAGATTCACAAGGGACAGAGTGGAGAGCAGAACAGACCGACTAATGAAGTACACTGCTGAGGGGAGCAGTGGGCGGGTCAGGAGAGGTCCGCGGAGCCATGTGGGTCATCTCCCGGGCAGGGATTAAACTCATGCTGAAGTGGCTTCAGCTTCTTAGTGCTGTACTTTAACCAGTTGAATCACCAGGGAGGGCCTAGAATATATTTCTGTCAGTGAAATAAGCTATTACCACTTTGTTCACACATGTCACATGTCTTTAAAAACACACACACACACACATTTTCTACATTCCCAGTTTCAGAATAAACCAATCGGTAACAACAAAAAAAATAGGACGAGAGCTATATCAAGTTTTTTAAGAAGTCTGCTGCATGGTGTTTTTGCTAATGTCCTGGTATCCATAACTCTACAAGGCAAACTATAAGATACAAAGCTTAGTATATGTATCTTGCATATACAGAATTTAATAACTTTGTGTTCTTTGTAATAGAACTATATTTCTATTTTTTTAATGGATTAAAACCATTGTCTGTACTTCTAAAGCAATATCTATCCCTCCAGGTTCTGTCTTTCACACATCCTACCTCGTTCCACTCTGCAGAGACATATGAGTCCCTGTTACAGTGCCTCAGAATGGAAGATGACAAGGTAGCAGAAGCTGCTATACAGATTTTTAGAAATACAGGTCACAAAATAGAAACAGACCTACCCCAGATACGATCGTGAGTATATTTTTTCTCATGATAAATATAAAAATTTTCTAAGAATGGGAGCTATAGAAAAGTTTCCTTTATTCATGTAGGAGAATAGGGGAGAAGAAAACCTTTTCTCTAACAATTACTCCTCTGTATCCTTACATTTACCTCAGCCTTTCTCACATACTTCTCCCCTACCATTAGAGTACAGGCAAAGGAATAAATTTAAGCACTGTCTATTATAAAAATTTTTTGTAATAAATAAGTAATAAAAAATCACAGATTTTAGATTTTGTGATTAATATATTTTCCTAATCTGCTAATCTTGGTTCATGTTTTTTCCCCAGCAGGATTACCTTATTGCACCAATGAATGTGATAATCAAATAGTATGCTTAATAAAAATATTAATTCGTTGATTGGCTGCTGGCATTAGAGCTTATATTTTTTGATCCTAGGCTCTAAACTACCTCCCCTCTCTTAAGAATGAAATACATTTTTGTATTTTCACTTTGACATCTTTAAGATAATTGCCTTAAGATCAAACTTTTACCTAGAGTTTATATTTAGACTTAAGGTGTGGGAGATATCTTTTGGAGGAAGAACACCATGCTGAAGGCTTTTAACTCAGAAGTTCAGGTATATGCAAATAGCTTCAAGTATATCCAAATCAAACCAGTTTTCCCTCAGAGAGTAATAATAGAACAAGGAGACTCATGACTGCAAAAGTTTTATTGCATTTGTGAGCTAAGAGTTTAATATGAGAAATAATTGAGTATTATGCCCTCTTCATTGTTAGTGCTATACTAACTAATATAAAACAATTTTTACATTCATTCTCTTCTTTCAAGTTTATATTCTAGAGGTGATCATCTTTTATTTGTATATTATAGGGGAAAAATCACTGTCATAATAGAATAAAGTTTCCAAAGAATATTTCAAGATAAGAAAAACAAATGGTTTTTTTTGTTTTAAGGTAGACTACGGGCTTAAATTTTATCCTAAAGAAAATAGTGTGAAATAGGTAGAAGCATTAATTTTGGATACAAATTATAAAACTTTTTACAACTATTGGAGATAGAAGAAAAAGGATCAGTGAAAAGCAAAGAAACACAGCATTGCAGATCTCAGTGTTGATAGCATCATTGGATTATAATTACATTAGAAAAACAAGACAGGCCAACAGGCCAAAACTGATCCCCCCCCCCCCATTGGGCTGGCTAAGAAGAATTAATACATTTAGTAATAATTTGATTGGTACTATATCTTTATTATATTTTGGTTATCTTATTATATATTATTTTGGTTAATGAAGTTGTAAAAGAAAAACTTCAATAGCTCTTTCACCCTCAGTGAAAGAAGGTCACTGAACATTGAAATCCTTTCTAATAATTCTAAACCTTTATGGAGAGAAATTCATAAGGAGAGCATATTCATAAGTATCAGTTGATAGCAGTGCATGTATTCCACCTTTTTGGTTCAGGTACATGACCTTAGGCCTCTATTATAGGAGGACCCTTTTCCATCATTGCATTTGACACCACTGCCCTTTATAATCTCTATCTCTAAGATAGGATCATTGGATCATGTGTGTGACAAGTACTTAAATTTTTGTTTTGCCTTACAGATTTTTTCTGATTAGAAAAATAATTGTATTTGCATTTTATAAAGCTGCAACTTTAGATAACATAAGGGAAGGTACTATTAACATTTTAATGTATAGTTTCATACTGTTTTGTCTGTATAGTTGTGTGTGCCTGTTTTTTTGTAGGCTGATAATGTTTTACCATATCATCAATATTTAATGTTTTAACAATTTGATACATACTTTTTATCATCTTATGTAAAGTTTCATTTTAGTCTTCACTGTCAGTGTAAAGGTTATCTACATGGATTTTGGAACAAAAATGCTTATTTTTAAATCCCAGCTCCACCATTTCCTAACACTGTCTCTTACCTTAAATAATATTTTTGTGCTTTTGTTACTCACTACTTAATGACTACAATTATTGCTGACTTTGGGTGGTTATGACAACTGATTGAATTTATCTATTAAAAACACTTGGTGCTTTGCATAGCTATTTTTACTGATTATATGTCTGTATACTTGCACACTTTCACTTATCATTTCTTCTTTTTAATACAGTTTGGCCTTTTGCTGCTTTTTTTTTGTGACTGACTTTAAAAAAAGTCAAATGTGATCTTAAAAGTAGAAGTAGGTTTAGAAGGTATATGGCACGCAGCATGTTGTAGAGAGAAATTGTGTGTTTATTATTTGTTTCATATTCATAAGGTAACTCAAATGAAAATAGTCTCCTGAAGCCACCTTTTCTTGGGACATTGTATTTCTTGGATTATATTTGGGACAGAGAAGGAAACTTGAAGCCTTTCTATCAATCAAGTAATTTTTGAAAGGTTTCTGTAACCACAGAAATCTAAACAGTTATATCAAACAACCAAAAGAACTATTTTTAGTTTATGGGGTTTTTTTGTTGGGTTTTGTTTTTGGTAACTATGATATTTTTTGCAGGACCTTAATTCCCATTTTGCATCAGAAAGCGAAGCGAGGTACTCCACACCAAGCAAAACAGGCTGTTCATTGTATTCATGCTATATTCACAAATAAGGAAGTCCAGCTTGCACAGATTTTTGAGGTACGTGTAATACATGGGATGTGTTCACGTTCATTTTTATTTTTATCTTTATGATTTAACAAAAATAGAAGGTAGAATTTTTATAAGCTATTATTCTATCCTAGTATATAAATACATGCAACCAAGGGCTCTTGCTCACTGTATAGCCAGCTTTTGTATCAGATTTTATGGTTACTTTGTACATTAAAAGATGTTTTGTGTTTTTGTGTAGAACATTTTGTTTAATTTTAGCCTTCCTGGTTTAGTAGTCCATCTGTCCTCAGAAAGTATTAGTCAATGACTTGAACCAGCTCGTTTAAAATATCTAAGAGTCCTACTTGAAGATTAGTCCTGTTTGGCTGAACTCTACCACTGGAAAGATATTCCCACTATTCTAAAGTAATTCATTGTTAGCTGAACCCCAAGAATGCTCTTTTTTTTTTAATGTTACTTGTTATTTAATGAAATGTCCTACAGAATAAGAAATTCACTAACATAACAGATCTATTGTTATGTTATAGATGATGATGCAGAAACGTTCCTGTTTTTACATTTACCTTTTAGATGAGTCTTAATCTTTACTTCTCTTTCTTTCCATATTGTTATATCTTATAGGTGAAATAACAAGTGGCTATTGTGGCTGTAGTTACATATTATTACAACAGATTTGTTTACACGTGATAAATTGAGGACTTGGGTGTGTTGACTGTTTCCATAAAATGTCTAGATATTTATAAAACAAAATGGTAATTTTGCTGTTTTATTTTTATAGCCACTCAGTAGGAGTCTGAATGCTGATGTACCAGAACAACTTATAACTCCATTAGTTTCACTGGGCCACATTTCTATGTTAGCACCAGATCAATTTGCTTCCCCAATGAAATCTGTAGTAGCAAATTTTATTGTAAAAGATCTGCTAATGAATGACAGGGTAAGTTTCTCATTTAATTAATTAACTTTAGAATCATAAGAGTAAGGTGTTTTACATCTTTATCACCAAAATATTTCTGCTTCTGTCTGTATATAGTTTTCTTTAGCTTTTAGATTACTCTTATTTCCCTCCTTATTTTTTAATTTACAAATAACATTTTGACATCAGTGTAGCTATTGCTAGAACATGCATTTAAGAAAGAAAAAGTGAGAACATGAGATAGCTCAGTCATGACATAATAAACATACAACTGAAATGCCATTATCCTAATCTTTGACAAACAACATACTAGTAGAGTGCTTGAATTTTGCTTTATCCAACATGATTAAAATATCAGTGGAATTGTATTTGATTAACTTTTTGAAATATAATCATTGTACTTTTGTTACTAGATTGATGTGTTCTAGTAACTGAATTGCATGAGTGTGGGTTAGAGCCCAGTAATGTATATGAAGGTTGAAAAGGCTCCCCAAGTGAATTCTGAAACACCTCTGATTAAGAATCACTATATGGGGACCCTCCCTGGTGGTGCAGTAGGTTAAAGCACAGCATTATGAAGCTAGCCGCAGCCACATTAGCATAAGTTTCATCGCAAGGAAGTGACCCACATGGCACAGCAGACCTCTCCAGTTTCACCCACTGCTCCCCTTAGCAGTGTTTTTCAGTAGATCTGCCTGTTTTGCTCCCCACTCGGTCTCTGGTGAATCCTCTCACTCCCCCATACTGCTGGTCCGCACCCCACTTCTATGAATAATCCTTTTTCAAAAAAATTGCTACTTTATCAAACTTGTCTAAATTAAAGTGTTGAGTAAAGGTGGCTTTTTTTGTGTTTGCTTTTTTTATTATTAGTTTATTTTTACATATTTTTGTGCATTTTTCCATCTCAGTTGCAATGTTTGCTTGCTTTTTAAAGATTGGTTTATTTATGCACAACTGAGGTATAGACCATAGGTGTGGGGGGTGGTAAAAGGATGCACCAGAGACAGAGTGGCTAGTAGAACAGGCATATCGATGAATACACTCCTGAGGAGAGCAGCGGGCAAGACAGTAGAGGTCTGCGGCACCATGTGGGTCAGGGGATGTGAATTTGTGCTGAAGCAGCTGGTGAATCGGCTGTGTGTAGCTTCATAGTGCTGCGCTTTAACTTGTGCCACTAGGAAGGGCCCATAATTATTCTTAATTGCTGGATTAATGTGGATGATTTTCAATGTAGTGGTAGTTATCCAGTTTATTTATAATTTGCCCACATGGTCCAAAAGTTTTTGAGCCCTCACTATTGAACTTAATTACTGTACATAATCCTCCTCATTTCTCTCTCCATTCATTTGCTATTAATGAGGCTACCAACAAATATAATCATCACCTTAGTAGATGTGAAATACTGTGTTGTGTCTCTGAGTTACCCTAGTTACTTATTATGTTTGGGATTTTCTTCTTGTGTTTAATGGCTATTTTTCTGTCTTCCTTCTGTATTCAATGGCCTTTGCTCTTTGTTGACTTGTAAGAATTCTTTATTCCAAATTATCAAATCATTTTCAGATATTTGCCAAATTCAAGCTGATAAGTATTTTCCACTATCTTGTCTTTTAAGAACTTTATAGTTTTAAATCTTAAATTAAGATCTTTGATCCATTTTGAGTTAATTTTTCTATATGGTATGAGATAGTGGTCCATCTTTGTTATGGTTTTGTATCTGGTTTTGCAGCGCCACTTATTACAGAGATTCTTTCCCCAATAACTGGTTTTCATGCCATTGTTCATATTCCATTGATGTGTATGTGAGGGTGTTCTAAGTTCTGTTTTGTTCCATTAGCCTGTGTCTGTACTTACCACCACATTGCCTTAATTACTAAATTAAGTAATATATAGTATTTGTATAGTATAGTATTTGCATATTTGTAATAAATACCTAAATTAGAAATGTTGAGTTCTCCAATTTTATTCTTTCTAAACACAATTTGGTGACTCTCATAAGATTTCTTGAACAGAGTGAAGTATGAAAAACTTTCTTTATAGAAATTAGATTTTCAATTGTTTACAGTCAACAGGTGAGAAGAATGGAAAATTATGGTCTCCAGATGAAGAAGTTTCTCCTGAAGTACTTGCAAAGGTAAATCTGTGTAGGTCTTAACAAGTTTTGTATTGAAATGAACTTTCATATATATCCTTTAACTCAGCAGTTAATATGTATTTTTAATGAGATACTTTATTTTTAAGTCAAAGATACATGTTTCTCAAATTGTGGTTGTCATCGAGTGACTTACATGTCAGCATCATTGTGTAGACCTTTCTGTCTGCTGAAATAATTTCTCTGAGTCTGTTTTACACAGAGATTTGTGTGTACAGTGGTGATACTAAGAAGCATCTTAGGGTAGCCTTACTACCACTATGTATACGCATATGAATATTAACTTGGCAAAAACAGATTGCTGTAATCAAATTGGTAAGTTTTGAGGGATTTAAATTGTACCTCAATAAATTTGTTCTTAAAGGTCTACTCTCTAGTGGTCTACCTCCCTAGTGACCAAGAGGTTAGTCCCAGTGCTGTCAAGCTATCACAAGCCACTGCAGCATGACTTTGATCCCCAGCCAGGGAGCTGACCCACATGGCACAGCAGATCTCTCCTGTCTCACCCCCTGCGCCCCTCAGCAGTGTATTTCAGTAAATTAGCCTATTCTGCTCTGTCCCTGGTGAATCCTCTCACCCCCTATACCTCTGCCTTATACCCTAGTTCTTGTATGCATAAATAAATATAGATCTTAATAAATAAATATAGATCTTGCAAGAAATTGTTCCATATTTCTTCATAATCTGTTTCACCTTTTGTAGCTTCAGTCAGTAATTGCCAGTGAATATAGTAACTAATACCTAGTTTTTTGTTTTTTGTTTTTTTAAGATTTATTTATGTGTACAAGAGCTGAGGTATAGGCCAGAGGTGCTGGCTATAGTTTCAGAATGCTGAAATTCAACCCCTTGTACCATCAGGGAGACCCAATATCTAGATTCCTCAGCTACTGCTTTCATGTATAGTAACAGTCTTTTGAACAGGAGTCTCTAAAATAAATATAAGTTATTACAAAGATCTCTTAGGTTTTAATCAGAAGGTTAAGCAATTACCCTGAATCAGATTTGATTTCTTCAGAATGAGTTTTCAGTACTAAGTAAGTTCTTTTAGTCCCTGTAATCAGTATAGCTCAAAAGGTTATTTTTAAACTATAGGCATTCCTTGGAGATACTGCAGATTCAGTTCCAGCCTACCACAATAAGCGAGTCACATGAAATTTTGGTTTTCCAAGTGCATATAAGTTACATTTAAACTTATACCATAGTGTTGTGTGCAATAGCAGTATGTCTAAATAAAACAATGTACATACCTTAATTTAAAAATACTTTATTGCTAAAACTTGCTAACTATCTCAGTCTTCACCAAGTGCTAATCTAGCTGGTGTAGGGGTTTGTTTCAGTGTTGGTTGATGACTGACTGGGATGGTGGTTGCCGATGCATTGAGATATCTGGCAGTTTTTCAAAATTAAGAAAACAGAATTTGTTGCATTGACTGACTCTTCCTGTCACAAATTTTCTCTGTAGCTTGCAATGCTGTTTGATAGTATTTTACTCACAGTAGAACTTCTTTTCAAAATTTGACTTTTCAAAATTTGACTCACTTCTCTCAAACCCTGGTTTATTGACTGAGTTTATTGCAAACCCTGTGTTGTGATTTCAACAAAAAATATGGCACCAGTACACATGCCTCTTTGAAAGATTTGAAAATCTTGGGCAGTTGTCTTAACTGTTACAGCTTAAGTTTAGAAAGAAGACCTTGGGCAAGTTATCATGGTAAATAGTCTCAGTTGACTTGTCTTATTGGAAATCAGAATACTTTCCCTCATAGATTTATTTGGAAGATTAAATAAACTAATACATATATACCTCTGGGAACAGTACCTGATAACAGGTCAAGCCAAGCAATGCTATTTTTTATTCTTATCCATTTGTTTAGTAAAACATGTCTCCTGGCAATTAAGCACTCACTAATCTAATTAACATAATTTAACCTTCCATTCAATTGGAATTTTAAGTTGCTTTCTTTTTTTAGCATGTTAATGTTTTATAGGTACAAGCAATTAAACTTCTGGTAAGATGGCTGCTGGGTATGAAAAACAACCAGTCTAAATCTGCCAATTCAACTCTTCGGTTATTATCAGCAATGTTGGTTAGTGAAGGTGACCTGACAGAGCAAAAGAGGATCAGGTGAGATTGTTTCCTTGCAATCCTTTCAGGTTTTTTAGCTCAGTATTGTTGCAACAGCTTAAACAGGAATGATTAACCTAAATAAATCTGGTAACTGTTGAGTGATAACTGTGTGCTTTGGTATCAGATCTTACATATTCACTTGAGCTTTATACATTTTCAGTGTTTTCATAATTATGTTATACAAAACAAACACTAGAAATAAGGCTGCAGAGGCACCAGGGAGGAGACACAAAGGCTTAGTGTAAAATAAATATGGGTGCTTTTGATGGTGGGAGTGATACGATAACATACATCTGTATAGGTATGAACTTAACTCCCCCAAATCATGTACAGTGTTGTAGACCACTACTACATCAGGTTAAAAAAAAAATCTCCTTTCCTAAAGACTAAATTTTTTCCAGTTAATGTTTAATTGTAATCACTATAGTAATGTTTAAATTACCATCAGTAATTGATTCAATTAAATAAATACTTGTTGAATGACTGCTCATCGTAAAACTCTGGAAAGCTTTGCAGCAAAAACATTCAGTTCTACCTTCAAGGAACTCTTGCTGTAGTCTAGAAACTGATCAGAGCAAGTGCTGTGACTCGGCACCAGGAAAGCAATAAAAATGTCGGTCGCAGTTCAGAGAAGTCAGTGTCAGTGTGCTTGTTTTACTCTGTCTCTGGTGAATCCTCTCACTCCCCACACCTCTGGCCTATACCCCAGTTCTGTATGTATAAATAAATAATTTTTTAAAAAATAAATCTTGGGGGGAGGTCTTTTTCTAATTAAAAATAAAAGTAAAATATACAGCATGTTATCAATTTTTTTTGATTGCTCCCCCTCACCCCCCAAAAATAGAATGGTTAACTGTGAAACACAAGTATCAAAACATATTTGGCAGATCCTTATTGGATGTTACATGGTTTAGCTTAACTCTAGACAAAGAAACTTAAATGCTCCATTTATTAGCTGCGTGAACTTGTAGTACAAATTGCATTTCTGAGACTTGTTTCCTCATGAGTTAAAAATTGTAAAGTGTTGGCCCTCCCTGGTGGCGCAGCGGGTTAAAGCACAGCACTGAGAATCTGAAGCCACTTCCGTATGAGTTCGATTCCCGCCTGCCGCCTGCCCCGGAGGAGACCACATGGCGAGCCAGACCTCTCCTGGCCCGCCCGCTGCTCCCCTCAGCAGTGTACTTCGTCGATCTGCCTGTTCTGCTCCCCACTCTGTCTCTGGTGAAGCCTCTCACCGCCCCTGAGCCTCTGGCCTGTACCCCAGTTCTGTATGAATAAATAAATAAATCTTTAAAAAAAAAAAAATTGTAAAGTGTTTCACACACTGCCTGGCACAAAGTTAAGCACCCAAGTAATAGAACTTTTTTTTTTCCCAAGTCCTCAATTATTTTTCTCAGAAGATTTTTTTTTGTTTTTTAAGATTTATATATTTTTGCACACAAAAACTAGGGTAAGGTGCAGGGGGCGAGTATTCAACAGAGACAAAACGGGGAACAGAACAGGCGGGTACTGAAATACTCTGCTGATGGGAGCAGTGGTAGGTCAGCTCCCTGGCAGGGACAGAACATGTGCAGCAGTGGCTGAGGACAGCTTCATCATGCTACACTTTAACTTATTGTGCCACCAGGGAGGGCCCTATTTTCCTCAGGAGATTTTTGATGATCCTTGGTTGTTACTAGCAGTCCTTTTGACTATGCTGTTGTCCACAAGTATCATGTTTTCTCCCACTAAGCTATAGTCCATTGTGGACTCAGGCCAGCTTTTCACATTTTCTAAAATTTTTAAGATTTATTTATGCATACAAAAATGGGGTACACACCAGAGGTGCAGGGGCGGTGAGAGGATTCACCAGCGATAAGCTGGGAGAAGAATAGGCAGACCAACGAAATATAGTGCTGAGGGGAGCAACGGGCAGATCAGGAGAGGTCTGCCACATCACGTGGTCACCTCCAGGCCAGGGATTGAACTCACTGAAGCTGCTGTGGCCAGCGTACAATGCTGTATCCTTACCCATTGCTACACCAAGGTGGGCCCTTCTAAATTTTTAACGATATCAAAGCTACACTGTCAACATTGATGCAGTATCAACACTATAATGTACAGTTAAGGTTTAAGTGGGAACACTGTCCTATTACCCAATTTATTGTCACATTTTCCCACATAGGTAGTAAGTACTGGGTTGGGGTAAGCGTGCCTGGCTCTCTTATCTTCCATGTGAAGATGCCTACTGCAAAAGGAAGAAATTACTGGCTGAGTTAGAGAATGACCCTAACGCCATATCCTTTCCTTTTACTTATGTGATAGCTCCCCCTTTCTGGTGCAAATCATCTCCAGATTGCTGGCCCTATATTTCACCAGGGATGTGTAGCCTTAACTAGATTCCTGTGTATCTATGTATAGGCATTAAGGGAACTGTAGGAGGGAGATTTAAAATAAGAAATTTATAATTTTTCAAGGTTTTTTTTTTTAACCAAGTGCTCTATAATGAGTATTAGTACATTAAGAAAACAGATAATTCATCCTAGTATTGCAAATTAACGTGCTTATGAGAATGAGCAGAGTTGTTTGGCGTAACTAAATAAGGAAGATAAGCTCATCAGATAGTCATAATGACCTTTTTCCCTGTGGACTCAAAGGCTATGTTTGTACATTATATCATTATAAGTGTAAATTATGCTAAGAATTTTACACTCAAAAAGGGATCAAAGTTTTTTATGAATGATAATGTTTATAGGAAATGCTTATTTCTTTTTTGTTTGTTTATAGTAAATCTGATATGTCTCGCTTGCGATTAGCTGCTGGTAGTGCCATAATGAAGCTTGCTCAGGAACCTTGTTACCATGAAATTATAACTCCAGAACAGTTTCAGCTTTGTGCACTTGTTATTAATGTAAGTCACAATCTTATTTTTGTCAGTTACTTGGCCTTTAAAATTGTATACATTTCTATTCTGTGGGTACAGACCCATTCACTGTTTTTTACTGGCAAAGGAATTCTGTTACTACAATTCTAACAAAAAGCCCACAAATTTAAATTGTGTTCCCCCATTATCATTTTAAAAAATGAAAACATATTAAAAATGTATAAAATACTCCTGTGTTTGCCAGTTGTTAAAACTGAACTGGACTTTTTGTTATGGTATTTAAAAACACTAATAACTTTTTATTTAAGTATTTCTGATTTTGTGCTACTGCAGGATGAGTGCTACCAAGTAAGACAGATATTTGCTCAGAAGTTGCATAAGGCGCTTGTGAAATTACTGCTCCCATTGGAGTATATGGCGATCTTTGCCTTGTGTGCCAAAGATCCTGTGAAGGAGAGAAGAGCACATGCACGGCAGTGCTTGCTGAAAAACATCAGCATACGCAGGGAGTACATTAAACAGAACCCCATGGCTACTGGTAAGTAGCTTTGAAAGCTCCCAGTGTGTAAATAAATCTTGTCAGGGTATCTGTTGGAGGGAGGGGAATTATTTTAAATACTTCTGTTACAGTGTATAATAGCAATGGGACTTTTTTTTTTTATTATTACAAAGTTTATTTTTACATCATTTTGCACATTTTTTTTTCCATCTCGATTGTAATCCCCGCAGTTTCCCATCACCAGATCACCCCTGTGCCACCACCCTAGTCCCATGCATTTCCCTC